TGGATTCTAGCAAACAGTCGTCTCTATGTTGTTGTGTGAGGACTGTAGGATGGACCGGTGGCTGTTTCTAATCCTCACCCCACTACCCACCGATTACAGTTTGGGTGGTGGAGTGGGTGAACTCCATGAAAATCTATAAGCTTGTCTACAGAAGGAAAAGCGTTCAGATGCAGCAATGCCTGCAGGTGATCTTGATGCAGAACTAGGGAGGCTGATCCAGTCAAATAGGTACCTCGGGGGTGTTAACGGAATCCCATACAAAGGAGGCGACAGCGGTGATCGTCTGCCGCAATTTCGCTCCTAAGGTTACTTATTTCTGGCTAGCACTAACTTCATATGTTAGGAGAAATATCGTTGCACATGGCGTCCGCTGACGTCAAACCTGCGATGACAGGGGAAAAGTCACATTGTTATAAATCGTAGCTCAGGGGGAATGGTGGTGGATTTCTGCTCTGTTTGGAGTGCGTGAAAGTGATAGCGTGTGCTCTTGCTGAAGAAGCCTGGCATGGTGTTATATTTCCTGCAGAAACGGCAATAAATATGGTTTATAACCTGCACCCAAGGATTAGCAGTGGGTTTCCGCGACGTCATTCTTAATGGCCGATGCAGAAATACGTATTACACTTAACTGTGATCACAACAAAGAGCGAGAGCAACTTAAGCGTAAGTTGGACAAGGGTCTGTATAATGATCGTGTGGAGATGTGGGTGACGGAAATAAGATAGACGAGGAGGGATTTTGCGCCGGGTAACACCCATGAAGTACTTAGGGTTGGTAAGAATACCGACAAGGAGAGGACAATTGTGTATCTGCCCTTTGCCAAAAAGGATGGAACTCTGGTGACCTAAAAGGACAGGCGTCTAGACTTTCAGGTAGAACACTTTGAAGCACAGTCTAGCCAGCTCTCAAAAAAGCTTCACTTGTCCAACATTCAGCCGGAATTTGAATGGGGAGCAGATATCGGCTCTCCAGTTCCCCTTAAAGTTGAGGTCATACTGAACGTAAAACACTGCTAAGCAGTAGGGCCTGGCGGTTTTTCATCCGAGGTTTTCAAGGAAGGAGGTGGAAAGACGCCGATAGGAGTGACGGAGGTGTCAGGTAGTGCATGTGGGCCATATGTAGTCCTTTCATACTGGTCCGCATATTTGATCATCCCAGCCTATGAGAAGGAAGAGAAATCCTTTGATAATCAAAAAAGCACAAACTTGGCTCATTCCCGGTCGATGATCAGACGGTCTAAAGTCCCCTGACCCCCAACTCTAGCCCATGGATAACAAACTCTAGAAAACCAGGCGGGTTTCAGTTCCGGACGAGGCTGTATCCATCTCATATTAACCCCACGACCTGTTTTGAAGCACAGGCATACTTACCGGCCAGCTGCCGGAACTTGCCACATTTCCTGACTTGAAAAGAGTGTTTGACCCAGTCGGCCATGAAGTAATGTGCCGGCGTCTGGCTCCTGTGAGAAGAGCTTGGAGAATGTACATGATGCTTATCAAGACTCCCTGCTAGAACTCGTGCAGCTGTGTTAGGGCTTATGGAGGGTTTTCAAGTGAGTTGGCCTCAAGTATGTCTGATTTCATAGGCATTGACCAACTCCCTGGAGGCTATCTGGCCAATTCACAGTATGCAGATGGCACCGTTCCTCTTGGTGAAGTCTCTGGCAAAACGCAGGATCTTCTCAACGTATTGAGCGGAAATCTAAGTGTGTTTGGCTACCATAGGCTTCTCATCCGTCAAATATAGGATAATGCCCCGGAACTGGTCTGCTACAGGCACTCCAGGTTTAATGAGAGTGAAGTGACGGAATGTGTCAACTATTTCACTTACTCGGGGAGTTGTATCGGCTTCCTGAAGGGAATTTTCGCTTGCGATATCTCAGCTGGCCCTGTTTATAATCTTCAGGCACGTGTCGTCTGTTGCACTGACTGGCGAGATACTCGAGTGTCTACCAAATGACGGGGTTGCTGCACCGCCATTCGACCGGTCCCGTTTTTTGGCAATGAGACCTGGTCACTAAAGGTAGAAAACATGAAGCAACCTCAGGGTTTAGATCACATACGTCATCGTTTAGAAGAATCACTATGTGAGCAATGTTGAGGTCAGACGAAGGATAATAGACTATACCAGCAAGTTAGTTGATAGGGTTCTGAACCTTACTCAAATAATGTGGCTTGTGGGCAACCTCAAGATGACAGAAGTCAGTGTTTGAAGACTCTCGGTGGCGTGGCCGAACCCGGTCACAGTGACACAGATGTATTAACCCCTTGGCATCTTTTAACGCCTGAACATCCCCGCCAATCTTTATCTCCGGGTCACTTTTTCTCTCACACCAATCTATCTACTTTGATATCGCTCCTTTTATCCACCTATTCTTTGCGTACCACTTTGGAACGTGCCAACTTGTTGCTGGCGCACCTGTGTGTGAGGTTCTACTTTGATTTCGTCGGTCAGTTTCAGGTTACCAAGGCCTACGTATTCAAAGTGAATACCCTGGCAGCCCGAATAAACAGTGTCATTTTGTGCTCTGGTGAGTTTGTAGGTCATTTATTGTGGGCCTTCATTTGGCTGCATAACTTTGTATTATGTGATGTAATAGGTACCACATTCCAAATTTGCTCCAGAAGTTCGTGGCAATCTGTGGGTATCTGCTTTCAGTAATTTTGAGATTGGTATTTTAGTTAAGATGTATTAGCCTTGAGCAAAGTTTTCCTCTGTAAATTACGGATTAACTGGTGGTACATATCAGCTTCCCTAGAATAATTTTCCTTTATCCTGAGCGTCAAAGTAGTAATTGTTTTCCGATATGTATACTGTATAAGAATTAACTATACTAACATCAAATAAACTTCATTGTGTGCCTTCTTATTAAACGACAGTGTCGTGAATCCACTCTTTGCATCAATCTAGCCATTACATTATCCTGAAGTAATTACTGAAGAATGACAATTGTAGTTGAAATTCAAATCCACAAAGCCGAATAATCTTTCAAGTTATTTACATCAGACCCATAGCACTTCTATCCATAATATCAAAAGTTATGGCAAGCGTGATAGACGGCAGCATCAGGGAATACCTGAACACGAAGCAAGTACTCGTTGACTCTCAACATGGCCTCCAAAAGGGTAGGTCCTGAGCCTCCAACCTCCTGACGGCCCATGATCACTGGACAGCATGCTGGCATCTCAAGATTCCTGCCCTTGCGATTTTTCTCGGCTTCACCAAAGCCTTTGGTCCTGTCTTACACACCATCCTAATACACAAAATAGCTGGGTTAGGTATCCGGGCCCGGGTGCTATTGTAGCTGCAGAACTACTTAGACAGTGCGGAGTCCTGCACAACAGGGTCCACTCACCTTGGGGAACATCACCGTCCGGTGCCTCACGTGGTTCAACCCCAGGACCACTCTTGTTCCTACTGTTCGTGATTGACCTTCCGCTGCATATCAGCTCTTTGACTCACCTCTACGCTGATGACGCCGAGTTATGGAGGGAGGTAGCTTGAGAGGCGGAATCGACCTCAAAATGCTAGAGGAATGGGTAACGAATAACGGACTGACATTTAACCTGTCCAAGTGATTCGGCACTCCCAATTCCCAGAAAGTATCCTACTCTCTTTGTGGTCCTTGTTTATCCCATGCTACGGCGGAAAATGATCCAGGTTTGCCGGCGACGGAGAAACCGGACACCAGTTCCAATTTCCCCGGTGACACTTCAAAAGGATACTGTGCACTACACTTTGTGCGCACACGACTAGGTTCCCTCACCCCAGAGCTCTTTCTGAGGCTCTACAAGACTTACATACGACCACATTTGGAGGTCCATAATGTCTTCTTTCCACAATAACCGAAAAGAGACACAAACCTACCGGAGAGAGTTCACAGGTTAGCCATAATAGGTGTTCTTGGGATGCAATGAAAACAACACGAGGATAGACTGAAGGACCTAGACCTATACTCTCATAGCTACCGGAGGTTACGCGGTAACTTGATAATGGCTTACAGAATATTGAACAACCCAAGTCACCCGAGCAGAAGATAACTACCGGGTGGCCACTATGGTGATCCTCGTGGAAACCCCAAGAGAATTGCCCACCAGAGGTCAAAAACTCATGTGCGTTCACAGTTCTTATTCCTCCGAGCCTGCGGGCACCGGAATGCATTATCAGCAGAAGTAGTCTTCGCCCCATCCGTTGAAAGCTTCAAGAAAAGGCTAGACAGTCAGAGGCCTATGATCTCCCCACATGTAGCTGGAATACGAACTAAGCCGAAGAAATCTATTGTCGTCACGCTATTTCAGCTATTTTACCTCTACAGCCAGTTTCCTTTCTACTGCAGCTCGTTAGGCTCTTTCCATTGCTCCCACTTGGCATGAGTTAGCCTCACCTACCTAAGTTCCTTATGTCTTTGCACTCCTTTTCGCCTAACTTGGGTGTAAGTAGATCACTCCATTAGTCCACTTTTCTTTTCCCTCTACTCACACGAATTTTTTGCCAAGGTTTCCACCTCACTAGCCCTAACTTTCTTCAACGACCGGTCCAAACAACTGTCTGGCAACTCGACATCTGAAGAAGCCAACTGTACTGCAGTTCAAGGCGAACCTACCAACACTTGACCTCCTGTTCTCATACGCAAGCTGTAGCAGACGAGTTGCTGGATCTACTGCATTGAAATCCACCAAAGATTTGGAACAGTCCCGCAAGACCAAGAAGCGCGCAAGAAGAAACCAAATGGTTTACACAAGCTTGTTAAAAAGATATTGGATATTGGATGTGGAAGTTATATCAGTCACTTTGTGTACCGTTCCTAATCAATTAAGTAATGTTAAGTATCAGTATAAAGCAACTCCTTTTTCGAGACTTTTTTTAAATTTGACAGTTTCTTCATTGTACATATCTCTCATGTTTAAATGTATGAAAAATGTAAACTATAGCTCTGTCCCTTTTACAAAAGGGCCGTTGCGGATATGAATCCTTGACCTTGTAACAAGATTTTCATTCATATGCTCCTCTGGACGCTTTGCATGGTTTTATTTTTCCATTCGAAAATATCAGGAACGACAAATCCTTGGTATGGTTGCCCCCAGGATGAAAATTTAGATACAAGTAAGGTAAAATATTTTGATATTATACTACCTGAAAGATTGTCCTGATGGTTGGTTCAGCTTTGAAGCCAACTGCTACTCCTTCTTTGTGCAAAGCCAATCTGACTACTTGTCTGCAAGAAAAAACTGTGAGGTAATTTTTGAAGTGAGTCATATATGATTTCAGACACATGGTGGATCATTGTTGCGTATTGATAGTTTGAATGAGCATCAGTTTATTTCCAACAGACTGAATGATATTGCTGTAAACCGGTCGTAAGTTCTATCATTTATTTAAGATGTATTCACTGACATAGTGTGCGATGGTACACAGCCGGTGTTATGCGTCCCGACTCTTTTGGTGAATTTATGTGGGAAGGCCATCCTGTGATGTATCAAAATGTCCGGTCAGAATTGATGTCTTTATGGCTGGATATTATACCTAGACCGTCTGAACGTCCTTCGTTTCCAAAGGACCGCACTCGCCTTGTTTATGGAACTGACAGAAATCGCTGGGGTTGGTACCTCGACACACCAAGCGTGAGAAGAGGCCATATTTGCCGAGCTCCTGTTGCAAACGCTAACCAACTTCTTTCTATTTCAAAATCATTGGCTTATGGGAGTGATACACCGTATCGAATAGCAAGAGGCCCATGTTTTATTATTCATCCCAAGGATGTATTGTAAGGTTCACATATTTAAAACAGCTTTGTTTTAGATACGTTCATCAAATGAGCAGCGAAAAATATGCAGAGTTACGCTGCGAAGCAAATGGTAATCCTCAGCCAACCTATAGGTGGTATTACGTTAGCACTGATATGTGGACGAATAGCACAGGAAGCACGATGACAATATTGCATCGCATACTTATCGATGCGGCATCTGAACCATCTGGTCGCATTTCCATTAGTGCTGGATCCTTAGTTATTCATAACCCCGACACATCGACCGACTCTCAAATGTTTCAGTGTGAGGCCAGAAATATTTACGGATCCGTTCTCAGTCGGACTGCAAGAATAATATTCGGCCAACTTGAAACGGCTCCTAAACAACCAAGAAACGAAAGAATAGTAATGTCTCATCAAAGCGAAACATTGCCTTGTGAACCTCCTGCCCATTCACCTCCAGATAGTAGGTTCAAACACGTGTTAATAAGAATGGTCCATTTTGCATAACGATTTTGGTAGCATGAGTTATATCCAAAATTTTTCAAAAATAAAAATTAGTTTTCTTCTGTAGTAGTTTTTCTCATACTTATCAAAAACGTAACACTAGTTGAGTTTTCATTTTCATTGATCAAATGATCAATCCATTCTACACTCAGTCACTGCATGTGGTCTCGGTGTGAGCAAAATTATCATCGGAAGTATCTAGTTAAACGTTTGAGTCGAATTGGTCATTATATGTGAATGCTGAATGATAGAGAATACAACTGATTTTTAAATAAGTGACTGATACTAAAAATTGATTGTCGAATTTCGAGGGCAACCATTGTCAAAAGCCTTGGATTTGTTATCTTCACTTAGTTTGTTTAGTTAGTCTAGGTAAAGTATTAACTTATTGTTCAGCTTTAGTCGAAAGCCCAGTTTTTTTTAAACGGTATCTTTTTCTGTTTTCTAGCTTGCTCATTTATTTTATGAACATATTCTTTCCCTTTTAAAAGACCAATTCAGGCTAGCTTGTATTTTAAACGCTTGGATCTTCTTTTCAGTATGAAGTATTCTAGTAAGTATTTTTGGAATCATCGGACTATTTCTTCACAGAGGTTTTCCTGTTTAGCTCGAAGGTTGGTTGTAGGAGAATGTCACTAGATAATAAATTCCATCACTAGCGCTCACTTAAGAGGACATCAACGGTACATCATCTTTCTATTTTAGGCACTCAGTTCACGTTTTGTTGATTTGATCCAGTCAAAATGTGCCGAACAGCTAAGTAATAAAAAAATGAACCATGAACTCTTACTAAATCTCTTTACGAGTGTTAGGATGCACAAATTAAATTCAGTAGCTTATTTCTTGAAACCCACCTTTATTTCGTGTAGAAGCTATTTTAAAAGAACCTGGTTTTGCAGCTTATTACAAGCACATGACCAGTAGAGCCAAATATAATGTAAGGATTACTCAGAAAAAGCAAATGCAAAAATAAGTAAATAAATATTTATTAATTTAGTATTACCCAGAACATTATATTTGGCAGTAAGCATTACATGATTGTTTGGAAAATGCATGACTGACTTCTGTAGATGTTTACAGCCAAGTTAGTAACCTTAAACATTTTGCACATACGTTTAAACGATGTAGGTACAAACGACTGTTGACTAAGCCTCAGTGTGTATGTAATAGAATAAGCTTTAAAAACTGGTGAGCATTAATTGATGACCTAGCAGACTAGCTGGATAATATCCAATAAGTTTAACTAAATTTCAACCAAGTGCTAAGAATATGGATTACAAGTTTTTAACTGATTTCTAAAACCAAACTTCGATAAAACGATGACCAAAAATTACCCCGTTTACAGTAATGCTATCTAGTTTATCCGAAAGTCTCCTGCTAGATTTTTCCATATCACATGTCGACCCTCTGCTTAGTCTAGCTTTCTATAGTTTCACGTATTCTATGAAATCGTTTTAGCAAGTGCCATAGAAGTCTGTCATTAAATAAAGTCAAGTCATGTACGGTATTTCATTCTCACTTTTTAACCAATTCCTAGAGCATACTAAAGTTTTATTCTTTCTTTAAATCATTACACATATATCATGATACTGTGAATGCTTTCATCGTCTCATGAATTTTTGCCAAAATGGATGTTTAAGGCATTTAGAAGTTTGGGATTATATGGAATAGAGCAATGAGGAATCTTGAAAGTAGCAAAAGTAATCAGATTTGAACCACCTGAAAATGTTTGGTGGCTATTCTCAAATTTGTAGCGTAACCGAATCATGTTATTTGGGCACTTTATGGAAACTATGAGTAATTATACCCACATTTTAAAATATTATTCGACTGTTTGTAGTCAACTTACATCTGTTAGAATAAAATTGAGACAGTTATAAGTATGCGTACTTCGTTTCAAACGATATTTGGATTAAGATTAAGTCAGACAATGAAAGACTGAAAGCTGTTTTTAATTTCTGTGAATCTTTAAGTTCTTATATATGTTGAATAAGTATTTTTCTTTTCATGTACGCATCAACCAAATTTATAAAAAATTAAAGTCATTTTCCAATTACGCTTAGTTTGAAGTTACTTACTGAATCATGCCTTTGAGAAAAGTCCCTAGTTGAAATACTAGTTATTCCTTAAAAACATCTAAGGTGTTTTTTGTTTTTCAAGGCCTGCTGTATACCGTTTACATGAACAAAATGGGGAACTCGAGCCAGTTTTGCCGCAGTACCGTAGGAATGTATTCATTTCTCAAGCAAAAGGGCTTATTGGTTTCTCTGAAGTTACTGTAGTGGTGAGTAATCCATTTAAGATAACGACTGACCAAATTGTTTCATAATTAGCTATAATATTTCTGGTAATAATTCGAAAAAAACTTAGTAACTATTATCTTATAAAAAACTAGTCTTCTATGACATATTTTATCATACATTTAAATATTTCAGACAAACAACTGTTAAGGGGAGTAGTCCTGTCAACAGATTCAAACAGCTTAACACGGAGATTATCTGAAACATGTGATATATTATCGCTTAACGTTTTGAACAGTTTGATCACATATGGACTTGTCTGTCTACGTATAAAAAAACTTGTGAAAAGAGTCAGTTAAGTCACTGGGAAACATAAGAATAGGAAGGGCAAAAAGAAAATCTAAATCACATAATTCTTCGTATGAAAGCTATAATAAATGCTACTACGGTAGGTTTAACGTGAGTACAAGTTGTTTTTGTATACATCGCTGTTAAGCGTTGGAAGACAATAAGTTAACAAAGTTAAGCGTCAATTACTTCACCATTATTGCAAGCTAATTAAGTCTGCATAATTTTAAAATCTATTTATCTAGATGCATGTTGGCAATGCAGTAAGTCTACCTACATCTTTTACTACAGTTACTTTGGTAGGGTAATTTGAAATGCCTTCGAATATCAAACCAACTATATTGTAGCATAAGTAGAGCAGGCTAACAACTTTCTGAACAATTATCGCATAATTTTCCTAATATTCCTGTGTCTCACATAATTTTAGATCTTCAGTACCTTACGTAGGCTCTACTAAAGTTATCAAGTTATAATTGGTTTTCACTAAGAAATCTGATAATACTTTAAAGAACTTAAGTCATTTAAGTATTTTAGAAAATAATATGTTTTGTATTTCATTGAAACTAATAAGATATGCTATTTTGTTTGTTGACAGGACAGTGGTACTTATGTGTGTATGATAACGATGCAGTTTGACGGTCATCGTATGTATGATTCACCGAAACTCCCAGATATGCCTTTTACTGTGCGCTACAGCAATGAACCCAGACAAGATCCAAGGATATATGATGACTTCCCAGCCGTTTGGCCTACAAATCCTCAACGTGGTCAACTTGTTCGCTTGGAATGTTTTGCTGCTGGTTACAGTCAACTGGATGGTCTAAAATACTCATGGCGCAGAGTAGGTTGGTTTTGTAAAATGGCTTACACTTATTTAGCCTGTTTCGGTAATCAGTGGGAAAATCTATTTTGACTGATCTGTTGAAACATGACCATTAGTTTTCCAAAGAGATAGCTAATTTGTTGTATATAGTCAGTTAAATTTTCTTAAGGAGGCTAATACATCTAGTAAACTGAGATATATGCCAGTTATCCTTAAGCTCGTACCTGTTGAGGCTTTCTGATTTCAGTTGAAGAGTGAATTTATGTTATAACACTAGAGTATAAAATCACACTTGATTTTAATTCCAAAGCAATTCGTTTCCCGTATTTTTTGCACAGCCAAACGGTATTATTTACTAGATGACACTTCGAACCGTTTTTGATGCATAACCACACCGAAAGTTACCTCAGAAATTCCATGGTCTTCTTTTATGGTCCTATTTCTTCTTCTTTCCTTTTGTGGGCATTATAATTTTCTAAATATCCCATTGTAAGTGTTCAATGTCGATTCGGTAACCAGGGCTTCAGTTATCAGTCTTTCTCTGGATCATGTTAATGTAGTTCCTCAGACTGTCACTTTGTCCCATTCTATTGTGTGTGTGTGATTGCATGAATTTTAATCACCCAACTTCACTCTTGATTTTTATTTTCACTACAGAATACCATTCTAGATTTGCCGAAGTTTCTGTGCTCCGCTGGTCTAACTGACCTGAACTACATGCTTTGAAATGTGTACTTGGCATCACATTCTTTGCATAGAATTTGAAAAAGGATGTTATCCAGTAGGCTGTCTCGAATATTTTTAGCCTGAAATGCCTGTTTCTTAGCAAGTTTGTGGATTTACATAACATCATTATCCAAACCCTTTGAAAAATCATTCATCAAGCTTTCAAAGTTCCTTACTTTTATAATAACACTGAAGATTTTACAATTTCCATTTCTGAGTAATACCATTTTTACTTTACACATGATCTCTTTTGCTCACTACTTTTGTACATTTCTGGATGACTTCACCGGAATAATTATTGAGTATTAACATTTCTTTTATCTTTCTTACTTCCTGTCGCAGATTTTCTGTTTTATCGCCTAAAAGTTTTTTCTCATTATTTAAATAGCTCATCACCCTCTAACATACAAGTAGACTGGATAGCGTCGACAGTGTGTGTTTGTATGTATAAAATGTCTATCTGTTTGTTCTGAAATCAACACAGAAAATATGTTATCTACCTATTTCCACCATATATTTCAGAAACAAGGTTTAATGTTCTAAGAGCAGTTTTTCCCAGACATTTTTAAATATGTTTTAGGGTTAGAAACGGTGGTGATTCAATGTCAGCCCCTTTCATTTCTCCATCCTTTTTCTTAAAACTTAAAGACTGTGTAAGTCAGATATATATGTGTTTCAAGCATGATGTTTTCCATTGTAACCCTAGATCTAAGTCTCAGTTTCTAGCCACAGTTGAGCTGATTCTCAATCACCTTTAAAATGATATTAATTAATACACTAATGTAAAGACTAGTTACATCAAAGCTAACTATCTTTTCAGTATCTTTTAAATGCAAACCATCTAATCTTTTTTTATAGTTAAAACGTGTTAGCCTGACTAGATTTTGAACGATTTCGAATAGGATCTTTTGTTGTCGCTAAATATTTAAACACTTTACAAAATTGAGGGTGTTTCTAAAGTTCATTACAGGTCTAATACGAAAAACTGGTTTATGAATCTTGATAACACTATGTGTACGACTGGGATTATCAGTAATGGCGAGTAAATTGTACCATTCAGTTTCACGTAATAAAATTCCTTAGTGATGCCTTTAATTTTTGTATCCGGCCATGTTTTTGTATGTTCGTTAATTTTCTCATGGAGATTGAATTTATCCTACAACACTATTGAATTCTCTTTGTCTTCTATCCATACCACAAAGGAAGGAGAAGAAACAGAACTATGAAAAGGCATATGGCGTTACCCTCAATATGAATGGTATTTGAAATATCACCTAGTAAATGCCACCGTTTCACTTGGTGAAAATCCAGCAATTAAATTGACATGGAATTTTACACTGTCATAGTGCCCTAGCTTTACCTTCACAATAATGATTTCTACTTGTTCATCAACCTGCCGTGGCTGCAGGGTGATACTGATGGCTTTTTATAGGTGGTATTCATCATGGATTGTTAACAGTTGCGGAATCACTGAAAACTTTAGGCACTTGACGGCTGTTTTGTCTTAGTGTTGGGACTCCTCACCGGTGTGCACCCGTGACCTATCCAGTGATCGAACTCAGGACCATCAAGTCTTGCTCCAAGCAAGTTAACATTCGGTCATTGAGTCGAGATCCAGTGGTTCACATCTTCCTACTCCTGTCATTTCGAAATATATAGTGATCGTCATTGAATGCCATTGGTGAGTAATTATCTTTACGTCCGAATTTGTTAACCCAACAAATTACAACTTGTAAATAAAACTTCAAAAAATTCATCTCAAAATATTTCACTTATAAGCATCAGACAGTAGTTCAATCTGGACGTTTGTGGGGATTGACTGATTTCAAGACAGAACTCATCATGGATTTAAATCAGTTGGAAAACCAGTAAAAAAATGAGAGCAGCTGACAACTTTTCATCCTAATACAGGAATCATTAGCAGCCCGAATGTATGGCCACATCAGGGGTCAAACTCAGAACCATGTAGTCTCGTAGCAAACGCGTTATTATTCAGACACTATCTCACAGTTCACTAGTTTTCCAGAGTTCCAAAGTGATCTGTGGGATCACCCATGTCGGATGTGAAAAGAAATGCTCGCTGACGGCATAGCATTATGGTTTTCAATGGTTTTCCAACTGATGTGAGTCCGTGATGAATACAACTGTTATAGTATGCAGCGAGACTGGCCAAATCTTCATAAGAAGCTGCATATAACAAAAGCCTTTTCGAACCAATCGCTTTAGTTCGAAGTTTAAGGAAAAAACACGTGAATCAATATGTAAGTATCAGATTGGTTAAGGAGACGAAACATCAATAGGATTTAAATCTAGAAAGACCTGGAAATAGTCAAGGCCATTGTAATATATATAATTATCATTATTATTTGTCCCTCGGGTCCCTAGTAGAACATACGGCTTCAGTAGCACGCCTCCAGTGCACTCTGTTCTCTGCAACCTTTTGAACCTGGCTCCACGACAGCCCAGAAGCTCTCATTTCTTCCTCACATTATCTCCATGTCACTCCCAGCTGGGACTCCCAACTCGTCGTTTCCCATCTGGATTCCACTCGAGTGCCTGGCGCGTGATGTCCCCGAATGGTCTTCTCAGTACATACCCAACCCATCTCCACTTCCTTCTGTATATTTATTTTCTAAGCGATAGGTTCCTGGTTGGTTCCTTGCCCGGCCAGAGTTCTTTGTGGCTTATTCTTTCTGGCCATCTGAGCTTCAGTAACGAGCGTAAGCAGTTGTTGATGAATGTCTGTAGTTTGTTGGAAATGCTTTACGTAACTCGCCAAGCCTCTGAATCACTGACTAAATTACTCTTGAGAATCCGGATCTTGTTCACGCTTTATGCTGAGTGCAGACCTCCACACTGGTTTCAGGTTAATGAACGCCTGTCTTGCTTTTCCAACCCTTGCTTTGAAGTCCTCGTCTGTGCTGCCACCGTCTTTAGTTAAAACGACGCTGCCTAGATAGGTGAAGGAGGTTACTTCCTTTAAGTTTCTCCCGTTAATGGCGATTGAAGCTTTTTGGTGGTGGTGGCGTTGGTTGGGTATCATCACTACCTCTGTCTTCTCTGCATTCACTTGAAGTCCCGTCTTCGATGACCCGCCTCTTTTGTCAGGTTGTTAGTTTTTGCCTGTAGTTCTTCAAGTTTGTGTGACACTAAACACAAATCATCGGCAAAATCTAAATTTTCTAGGATCTTTTCCCCGGTCCAGCGTATCACCCTCTTCTCGCTCCTCACGGTTTGCTGCATGATCCAGTCCAGTCCAGTCGACCACAATCAGGAATATCATGGGTGATAGTAGGCGGCAGCCTTGTCCTACTCCTGTCCCCTGTCTTCACTTCAAACGCGTCACTGAGCTTTCTGTTGTGGATCACTTGGCATATGGCGTCTTCATGTAGTTGTTGAATGAGGTTGATAAAGATTTGTGGTATTCCGTAGTGTTGAGGCAGTTGCCAAATTACTTCTCGGTCGACACTGTCAAAGGTCTTTTCAAAGTCGGTGAAGTTGAGGTAGAGAGTTGACTTATTGTAATATATATAAACACTGTAATTTGCATAAAGTGTTGACGTTGACGTTGCCGTTGATACTGTAAATACATCTTCTCTTATATTACCGCCTTTTTTCATCACAGATGAATTGAACAACTTTTAAGGGTGGAATCTGAAGGTTACTCTACAAGCGTTCACATATATTTATAACTTCGGTTGTATCAAGTCACTTTGAAGATATATAACATTGGTGACTGGGATTCGTCGCTGTAACATGAACAAGTTTGTCAAGCTCCTCAAACTCATTTTTATCCTAACCATGTCCATCACTGAAGTATTTACGAAGTCTTTTTCAAAATTTGAGGACTTATGGATGAAAATTCTGCTTAGATATCATGCTGTATTTTACTCAATTTCCTAATAATTCTCAGTATTGCCACTTCTATTCTCTCATTATAGCATTGTAAAATATGCTTGAATTTCCTCGGGAGAAGGAGTTTCCATTTTTTTACCTGTCGCCACTTTTATTTGTCCTTACATTGACTTGATACAACCGAAGTTATAAATATATGTGAACGCTTGTAGAGTAACCTTCAGATTCCACCCTTAAGAGTTGTTCAATTCATCTGTGATGAAAAAAGGCGGTAATATAAGAGAAGATGTATTTACAGTATCAACGGCAACGTCAACGTCAACACTTTATGCAAATTACAGTGTTTATATATATTACAATGGCCTTGACTATTTCCAGGTCTTTCTAGATTTAAATCCTATTGATGTTTCGTCTCCTTAACCAATCTGATACTTACATATTGATTCACGTGTTTTTTCCTTAAACTTCGAACTAAAGCGATTGGTTCGAAAAGGCTTTTGTTATATGCAGCTTCTTATGAAGATTTGGCCAGTCTCTCTGCACAATATAACAGCTACCTTAAAATCAGTCAATCCCCTCAAAACTCCAAGCTGTACTACTGGGTTTTATAATTTTAGGTTGCGGGATTGCTTGATATACCTGTCTTTCTTTTCTTAACCATTCTTCACTAATCTATGGTGAGAAGCATTGATATCCACAACATGAGGAGGATTCGAATGTTTCGAACAAATATATTTCGAGAATTGTGTCGAATCCAGTTGTCAGTTATTAACTTCTGTCGAACAGAGTTGGAACTTAATCCGTTAATTCCGTCTGTATGACTGTATGAATGCCAACTAATATAAAATTATTTTTGACATCTCTAACTGAAGGAGAGAGGGATAAATAGTGAGAACAAAGGGACAAGGACGATTGATTCACCCTCCAAGAACTTTCAGATTCGTACAGCTCTATAGTCTTATATCATATGTCGTTTCTCTGCTTATTGTTCGGATGACATCTAGTTGTATAGACCAAACATCTAGTTTTTAGTACTGCATTTTCTTCCTACTACTAATACTATTATTAATAATGATAATAATACCTTGTTAACCATTTTGCTACTTTTCTCTTCATTTATTTTAGTTAGATGGTGCACCTCTTCGAACAGATTGTCTGAAAGACTATGATCGTGTGATTGAATTACCCAATGTACAACCTGAAGACCAGGGTGAATATGAATGTAATGTGAGTTGTTAGCTCTCCAAATGACTGGACGGTTTATTTAAATGCGATCGTTCTAGTGAACTGAGTACTTTGTGAACAAACAAAATTCCACCTATTATCGAATAATGTGTCAGTAAATAATTCATCTGACTGCTTATGACTCATGATATAAAAATGTACAGTGTTCAAGCTCAAAATTCAGGCATTTTATTACGGAATACTGAGTTTCTAATTTTAAAGAAGTTTATGTGTTTTTCTATGAATGATATGTGTAAGATTTAGATACCTTGATATGGCCCAACATTTTCGACAAAAAAATTGTTTTTAATTAGGAAAGGAAAACAAGCGGGTGCTGTTTGACTTTCTTAAGATCAAAGTTAGTGAACCAGGAGAAAACATATTAGTTTCGTTTGGTTGTTTCATATTTCCTGGTTTTCTATTGTGACCTTTGGTTGCAAAACCTTTTGCTAATTCATACTTAAAATCAATTAAGTTTTCTTCAAATACTGCATGAGCTTTCAGTTTTTAGTATCATAGATTATTCAGGATAAAAATAATTTAAGTGAATAATTTTTTTTACCGGCTTCCTATTCATGATCTGAAGTTATAAATCCATGAGAATAGGTGAAATCCAATAGTCAGTGTACATTTTGTCGCTTTATATCGTGATTGCTCTGTTCATATTGATTTCACTACATAACTAACACTACTGCGACTACTACTCTACCGGATAGGAAATTCTCATCCATTTGATTCGATCTCTGTTCACCCTTAACATTGACTGTTTTAAATAATAAAGTAACTTTCAGTTTGTAATACGTTGTTCTACAGTTATGGTCTAACTGAGGGGAAAGTATTATGAAAATAACAAGCCATTTTTGGTGTATTATTCAACAATGGTAGGAGTACCAGGTTGCCCTTTCCCTAAGTTTCAATAACATTCGATCGTTTTCCGCAACCACTGGGAGTAATAAGTCCTAAAGAAATAAATTTCTCAGAGATTATTCCCTGCATGTAGACGTATCTATTCTATTTTTCTTTCCAAAAACATTTTTGTAAACAGAAGATATACATAATAAGTTTTACTTTCTATAGATTTCCAATTTCGATTACTGTTTACTACCAAAGAATGTATAAGCAACTGGATTATAAGGTATCATTTCTGAAGAAAGTCTCAATTTCGGCTGGAAAATTAGAGAAAGTTGTTGATTACTGCCTTGCCAGTGTTTCCTAATTCAAAGATTTATTAGTTGAAAGTATTCTGTGGGATATAATTCAATAAGCGTGTATAATACTGATCACATCTATTGTGCGGGACTAGTGTGTTTTTTGTTATGCATACTCTGCGTACTAGTGATGTCTTCATTATGTCTTTCACACAGATATATCCCAATGAGGTATACAAATATATTTCTGACTTTTCACGATCTATTGGAAGCTGCTTCTTCAGGGAATAAAACCTATGCAAGTTATTGCGTGTTTAAATAGTAACTGGAAGCCAATCAGATTACGCTGTTCAACCTTATTATTTGTCAGTGAGTTCAAGGTGATGTGAATTTGTGAGGAAAGTAACGTGAATGTGAAACATAGTTTGTTTGTGTGTGTATGTACTTTAATCATGCTCATCATGTACAAAATGTCATTTCGGATATCCAAGTTGGTTGGATAGTTAGGCCTTCATTCAGTTGAATGCATTAGGATTCAACATTATGTGAAATGCCTCACCTATCCATCTTTACGTGTAGTTCCGAAATCCTTTTTGAATAATCTTGACATTTTCAATATCAATTTTCTTCTGCCTCCCACCGTTACAAATCGCTTCATGTTTCATATCGAATCCGTGGTCTTAACCAACTCTATCAAATCATGTATTTAGCTATATGTATAGGCAAAACACTGCAAACAATAATCAGTAATAAGATTTTCAGTATTTCGGTGATGATGAAGAAGAGTGAATTTATCTGCAGCATTATGATCGACTTGGAACTATGAAATGGTTTACTATCTTTGAACTATTCTTCTTTGTTTCACTTGATTTTCTTGTAAAACCTGCACATCCACTTCCATTTTTTTCAAATTGTAGGTTGAAGATTCCCTAGGGAAAATGGCAAGACCTAAAACCTTGAATTTGAAAATCACTGCTAAACCATATTTTACAACACCATTACAAAATACTGTAGTAGACATAGGCACCGATGTGTATTTGACTTGTGAAGCATCTGGCATTCCAAATCCTGCACATGAATGGTACAGAAACGATATAACAATAAGTCAGTTGATTACCACAGGTAAATTAAATCCAGCTCAGTACAATATTATACATGATGGTCCAACACGATCAACGCTACATATTCAGAAGGTAAATCACTGAAGTTTTCTTCTTCGATTAAAGCTTCGTTACAGTTTATGTTTTAAGTGTTCTTCATATTTTACTCAAATGATGGGAAATATCTGCAACTCAAGATGAGAATGACAATGGTCACATTTTCTTTGAGCTTTGATTTTTTGTTTTAAACACTTCGTAGCTTTAAAGCTTGGTAATATCATTAACACTAACTTCAGGAAGATGTCTTGACATATCTCTACGTAGTTGTGTCATAATTATCTTAACTATCCACTGACATGAGTAAGAATCCTTACTAATTTGATTAAAATTATGCGAAAGACGTGTTGTTGATACTTCTATTTGTTGTATAATTAAGGTCTCATTGTCTGAGGGACAGCACTTTTTAGATAGTGAATTATGCATTCAAGGATAAAAACACTGAATAGTAACCTTTCAGGTTGTTGAGTTTGATGACTTGATAAGGTGTATTTGGTTCCCATGTTGAAAGCATATTAGTATGGTAGACACTGTACATCATTACTTCGTAGCTGACTTCTCCAAGTGCTTTTCAAAAGATTGTCAGTACCGAACAAAAACTGTCAGAGTGTTGATTTCAAAGGAGAATTCTCGCAAAATATGATACACAAATTATCTTGGAATACCGCAATAGTAATTCAACACAAAATGAAAAAAATCATTTACTAGTAAGTAAAGTAGAAATAAAAATCAACAATACTCCGGAAAGAGGAAAATAGTAAGCATACGTTAAAGATAGTTAACCAAATTTAATTTTAAAAAATAAAATATCCTTCAGTGCTGGGGATAACACAAGTGGTAGAAAGCAAAAAAGGTTCACGTAGTTACACGTATGACTCTTGAAGTAAACAGATGATAGGACAATACAGTTACGATTTTAGGCGGAGGAATTAAAATATTGACATAAAGCTAAAAACAGATTTGGTGAAAGTGCTGTTGTAAGCAGTCAGTTATACTTAGCAGTAAAGTCCCCAGAATACCTTTGACACTAATCATCAGAAAGGGTAGTATAAAATAAAAGGGAAAGAGTACTACTGAGAAATACAACCATAGAAGAGAAAACAAGTTAGTATTATGTTAAAATCTGATTTACCACTTAGTTTCTATTTTATAAGCATATATTTTAATATAATTTCAAAATGTTTTTTGGAAATAGAAACATGATGTTTCTGAAAGTTTCGCCGTGTAAACCACAGCTTATTCAGCAGAATTCTTTAGGATTATATTCAAATGCATTCTTAGGATGATTCAATCAAACTCAGCGCTCAACTTCTTCCAGGACTTTTGTAACAACTATGGTGTGGATTACTATTTATTGACATACTTGTTATTCTCCGTTGTTTTGTTGGATTGAATTGTTCGACCTCTATTGGCATAGTGGATAACGCCTTGGCCTTTGAAGCGAAGGGTACAAGGTTCGAGTCTCGGTAGGAACAACATCACTAGGGTGCAGGTACATCCAGCTAACGAGTCCAAAATAGGACGAAATGCGCGTCCTGTATTCTTCTGCTAGCCACAACCAACCAAATTATCACTATGGTTTGGATGTTTATAAGCTTAGTTCCTACTTATTCTAAATTATTATCCAAGATTAGGATCTTTTTAAATTAACATTATTTATTTTCACTTAACAACGTGAATTTTAAAATTAAACGATTGGTGATAAGACTGTCTAAGAGAGTTTTAGTTCAATAAGTTATTCATGTAATGCAATTGGATGGTAATTTCGGATTGAAAAGACTGGGGTTGCTGCACCATTCTCGACAGTGCTTTTATATTGCCAGGGTAGTGTTTAAACTTTAAGAGAACACTAACGAAACAGAAGGAAAACAAGAAATGAGTTAAACTTGATGAGTTGCAGTCAAGTCAAATGGGAGAATTACGGGTTACGTTACCTGATTTGTGTTACCAGCGCAAAGGAAGATTATCCACTAAGCGGTACTGTATATAACCCCCCGGTCTCAGTTTTATGGCGCCTGTATGATACATTGTCAATAAAAGGAAAAAAGATAGAGTAAAAATTAAGTTTAAAAAATTTTTAAAGTATTTAGTGAGAACGAAATACGAAAATTATGTTCCTTTAGAATAAATTGAATATCAAAAGTGGTGCTGTGGTCATTACTATTTATTCTCCAATTGCAGGTCAAACTTCAGACTCTGGGATGTTTACTTGTTTGGCGTGGAACAGTTTGGGAAGTGAATCTTCTTCAGCTGAACTACGCGTACTGGAACTAGCACCCACGTTTAGGAAGCATCCTGTTATGCCTAATGAAGGTATGATTGGAAGCAGTGCAGTTATGGAATGCCAACCTGAAGGAGCTCCTGAAATGACTGTAGAATGGCTTCACGATGGGACTGCTCTTACTACAAGTGACAGTTGGTTAGATCCACAAACAGGAGGTGCAACTGTATGTTACCGTCAAACAATTCGTTTTTAGCTCATTTGTCTTTAAAACTTTATCAAAGCATCAACCCAAAAGGATCAGTGATTTCTTAATTTGCTTTAAATAGATTTTTGAAACCTGATGATGTAGTGTTTGATTGTGGATAAATCTGAACTTTTTTTCCGGTTTTTATGTTATATACAGTGGTGGGAGATTCGACCCTTATGCTTAAACTTAGTATCAAGTAGCCTCATTGTAACACCTTATTTTTGGTGCGGAAACACTCAGATTTTGATCAAAGAGAGTATTATTTTTCTGATAGCCTAAATTTGCTTGGTTGCCTGCTATAAGCAGGTGGGCAGTCGAAATACATAATCTTCTAATAATTGTTCCAAAACATTTAAATCTAAACAGCGCTTAATCTAACAGTTGAGTTATTTAGCCCACCTATATCATACTCCACAAATCTACTATAAAATTCAAGTATTCACTTATCTAATCGTTTTTCTGAATAATGCTTTCAACTTAGCTGTAATAATTTCCCCATTTTAGTACAGCAGCAAAGAATATACTCATTTTGGCTATTATACTCATATTGTCATTTCCAATGGAGTAAGGACCAGTGATTGAAACGGATATATTATGTTGAAAATTATTCTTGTCGTCTTTATGTTCGTTATATAGAATTCATTAGAGCAATCTTCATACTTACTGTTCATATTTTTCATTATCTCAAAAAGCCGATCATCACTGAAGACTCAAATATAACTACCTTCATAAACTAAAAGCATCGTTGCAGTGGTCTAGCACTGACAGAGTAGTATTGCCTCTGAATTAATACATATTTTATCATAAAATTTCATAAAAGATTTGCAGTCATATTACACCATACATGAGTAATAAATAGTGTTCATATATTTGATAGGTTGACTACTTCTCTATCCACTTAGCATAAAATCACTCTGTAATTAACCTTGGAGTTATTGGCCCCTGACGATGTCAATAAGTTTGATTTGTGGTAAGGATCAAGTCAAGGCTCGAAGCACAAATGTCCATACCCATCCCTTCTTATTGGATGAACTAACAATATTCTGCCAATAAAAAAGATTTTTTATTATGTGTTTAAATAGTCCTATCAATATAAATCATTCAGAAATGACTACTGAAGTTGGTATAAAGCCTGGATTACAGCCCAGCGAACTGCTGTTTGGTTTACTTGAGACTGTGCCCTGATTAGCATTTTGGTCTTGTTGCCTAGTTGGCAAGTAACATCATAAGTATAAGTACTAGTGGTAAAATAACTGTAATCATCATCGTTAAATACAAAATGCAGCTTTCAGTCAAATTTGTCTCGAGTTGTCTGATTTCTAACAGGACTCAAGTAAGTTTGAGTGAGATCGATATTTTTACCAGTTTAACACTAAGCACTGTCAACTTTACGATTGGTGTAATTGAATTCTTTAGAGAACCACAGATTGATACACAAGACATCGGCAAAAACTACTCACGTGATCACACTGGTAGGCAAGAGACTGTTAGTATTATTCGGTTTCGAGTGGTTTATCAAAAGTTGTCAAATGGTTGTGAGATTTTTACTGAAGCAACTCCCACATCAGTATCATACTCTCTAGTTGGTTACATAATAGAAACATTTGCATAATGTCTCAAAAGTATTGGAATATTCTACTTTGTGTGGTAATGAAGAAGAAAATATGTGACAAAAATATTGCATCCCTAGTCCAAAGGTTTCGCTCCAAGACAGTGTATGGGAACCGATAACTGTTTAACCGGGTATTGGATTATAGCAGTATTTAACTTGTTTACGTTGAAATAGTTCTTCTATCCGATTCTCAGTCATAATAGGATAGCTACAAAAGATACGCAAACGTCTCTAAGAGGAAAAACGAGTATTTGTGATCTGGTAATAACTTTAAACCAGTGTAGCATACTTATTTGCCAAATAAGGTTTCAGTAAAATTGACATTGTTTATTCTGCTATTTTACAACGAAAGAAGTTAAACTATGGTGGATTTGTAAAATTATTCGCATTTTTAAAATTATTAGATTTTATTTTAGCACTTTAGTTTTCGTGACTAACCAACGGTTGGCTGCAGAAGAACTGTAACTCATAAATCATTAGGCATCTTTCTTGTCCTATTTTGAGAATCTTAAAGGGTATACCTTATCACTTATAACTACATCCATTTTCGATTTTGTTGACTTCATATACTGATAAAATTATGTTAGAATTGTACATTTGTGTTGACTGTTGGTTTGAGCCATGTATTCAGTTTCAGACTGCTTGACTGAATTACGCGATATAATAGTAATCGGTGGTTGGAAACTCTTGGTGACATGGATGAAAACCGGTTACAATGGCGCAGAAATTACCACTTTTTAGTGTCTTCTAGAACTTGAACATTTTCACTAACTTTCATTCTCAAACTCATTTTCCTCTCATACACCTTTATCTACTTTGACATCAGTCTTTTCCTATCCGTTTCTTCTTTTCATTGTACTGGGAAGTGAGGCAACTTGAACCGATGCACTTGTATGAAACGTAGAACCCTACGCAAAAGTTTGTCGGATTAAGTTGCCGCATCTCAAAGCACCACATAAAAAACAGGTAGGTGGAAGAAGAATAACATTAAAGTCGACAAAAGTGTATTAGATGGGAAAGAAGTTTAAAAATGCTACATAATGGAAGTGTTCTAAGTTTAGAGGAAGTAAAAAAGTGAATACAAGTGCACTGTTGTGACTAGTTTTCACGCGTGTTACCAAGGCTCTGCAACCATTGATTTCCATCATCTCGACGACCCCAGGTAGACTGTACCTCGACACGCAGCTCATACCAACAGTCATAGAGTTTATCAAGTGTTACCATCTGGTTATCTGGTTACTCTGAACCTTCTTCCAACTTGAAAGACAAACTGAATTCTTTGAAGTTAATCATTGAAAATATTCATGGAATTCTGTATTGAATACTGGTTCACTGCCCTCTTATTCTCTGCATTTTTATTATTGATATGTTTGTATGATGACGCCGTAACAAATTTACAAAATTCAGATGTAATATAAAAAGCCTATAAGCTTACTCTTTTGTATTCTTTTGCAGTGTGGGACTAAATATTGCAAACTACCCAGTAAAAATCTGTTGATAGTTAATTTAGTCGAATCAGATGCTGGACAATACACATGTATTGCTAAGAATATTTTAGGTCAAGCAGAATCAAGTGCTTTATTGACGGTAGTTCCACAACTAACAATGAGTTTAACTCCGATTTCTCGTGTTGTTTACCGAAATTCTACAGTACTTCTTCCATGTCGTGTTCAAAGTTCATCGTACTTAGATGTCAATTATGCTTGGTATTTTGAGGTCAGTTCTGTTTTAATGGTCTGTCTTTGAATTATGTGCTTTGATGCTTTTTCAAAAAAAGAACTGGACTTATTTAAAGACTGAAAATATTATTGAGATTAATTGTTTTAGAAGCTCGCAAAGATGAATGACAGAGGTCTAACATTTTAAAGTACATTGAAGTATTGTTAATCAAATTAGTATTTTATTTCTTTAACCGCTATAGGTGAAACAATTAAGTGTCAAGACGGTAAAACGACTATAAGCAGTCATTATCAACCAGATATGAATAACCCACCTCATCATTTGTAAAGTTAATTACTCGTTAGTGACTTTATGTTAAAATAATGTGACTAAAATGAACCGGAAATTTTTTAATTCGATATCATGTTAGTACTGTACTGTGAATCGAATGGTTAAATGACAACAGATATACTCTGAGGATGTTAGTCAAACGAGAATAAAAGATCACAAGATCAGTCGAAATAGCTTGTGTACGTTATTCTAGCTCCTATGGTACTTCAAAATAAAATAAATGCGATCTGAGGCATTGCAAGTAAACGTGTCAAATCCAACGTTTTGTGGAAATCAGTATCCACTAATCTCAAAAGGATCGAATTACCATCATCAGCCTGTAGCTGACTTGGCTATGTAAAAGCAATTCTAGTGGATTGAGCTGAAATGCAAGTGTAATTCAACATGCATGATTTATATTCCTTGTACACTGAACTACTTGTTCAAGTAGTTCGATAAATACACGAAGTAATCCACTGAAATGCTTCAAGTGATGGATGACTGAAGAGTGAGACATCACTCATTAAAAGTTTGGGGACTAAATGCACTTAGTTCTTGTATAAAGAGAAGCTTTGTATTCAATTTTGGAAAACTAGTCTTTTAACTAAGTATTCACATACTCTTTATTTTGCTTAATAGGGTGTCTATCTTAAATTTGACCGATTAGATTTGGATGCCCGACGATATGAACTTGCTCAACTGTATAGACCATATGGAAATTATTTCGGAACATTAAAAATAGTGAATATACAGTTTGAGAATTCCGGGAATTATACATGTGTGGCTGAAACACCTCTGAATTCACAATCATCAAGTGGAGTGGTCAGAGTTGCTGGTCCTCCAGGACCATGTGGAGGTACGTGTACATAAATTTACGTTCCCTTTATAACTGCAGCAGTTAAAACTTCTCACCAAGTTTTTTTTGGCTCATCCGATTCCTCTCAAAAAACATAAATTTCCATATCACTAACCATCCTGTTCTGTATTATATACACTACACTTTGAAGTTACTTATTACAATCTCCATGATTCCCTTATTGACTTTATAAAAGTGCCATTTAAAGAAGTTACTTCGAGGTTATCACGAAGTTTGATACAATTGAGGTAAACTGAATCAATGGGAATCAAAATATCTTCAGAGAGACAACTGTTTAATTAGGGCTAGTTTAACAATATTTCTAAAGATGATCAGTCCATTCACAATATATTTGCTTCTTAGTATTTTTACAGTTCTTTTCGTCGAATTCACAGATTTAATTAGGATTTTACTCCTTTGCAGCTAACTTTATTTACGTCCCATTCAGTCGTCCCCTGTTATTTTCTACAATCAGAGGAATGTTCATCATAAAACAAACACTGAAGTTATAAACTGCTGTCACACAAAAATGATGTATTACTTGATAAGCAATTACTTAGAACAGAGTGAAACAGAATTCATTAGTCTCTTTCGTTGTTATAAACATTTGTTTTCTTCAAACGACAAAGCAACATACAGTGCTTGAAAATATCCAATAAACAGCAAAAGACTTGTCATCTAAGTGGCACATATTTTCAGTCGTAGATTAACTTATCGTGTTTACAACTAAAGTGCTAAAAACCTGGGTTTGAGTAGATTTAGCACAGACATGAATGACTAAGTTAAACTAAAATATGACTCCCAGTTACATTTCATGTGCCAACCAATAGAGTACTGGACCAATGGACTAAAAGTCAAGGTTTCGAATCCTACCCTCATTCACGCTTCCTCTCTAAATCGTGTTTAACTCACGAAAAAATACATTGACGAAGTAATATAGATGCATTCCAGGTTTGTTTTTTAAAATAAACTGTCAAATAGTTGTTAAAATTTCCATTCATTACCATCACCTCCGTTCGAATACATTTCATGACACACTATAGTTCATTAGTACATTTAGCTTATCAAAAAAACCTACAGTTATGAAAAAAGTAGGGAAAGCATTCTAGACGAAAATTATATTTTTAAGGTAGTATTCATCACAGACAAACATCAGTTGAAGGACCATTGAAAACCTGGAAGCATGGAACAGCTGTTTCGTCCTAGTATGGGAATCCTCAGCAGTACGAACCCAAGACCCCACCAGGTGTCAAACTCAGGACCTTCAAGTTTCGTGGCCAACATGATAATCATTCAGCCGCTGACTCGGTCACTGGAAGACTGCTTCAGCATTACAACCCATACAGGTAAACTCAGAAATTACTATTACTGAGAAGTTTCGATCTATACTTATAGAACCTCAACAGGCTAAATTAAGGTGTCATTATACAGGAATCTATACAGCCAACTTTGTAAACTAAAACTGCATGTCTATTTAGCGTAACGCATCATTCATCTATAGACACTAGACGCGGCATAAATATCTTAAAAGCATGGCTTACTAATCTTATGTGGAATGCAAATCTTCAGCTGACAACCCACACCGAATAAACAAAATGTCTTATATTAAATAATACATACATATTCTAACACGTAAAAAGATATCTGAAACTTCATCACCTCATGAAAGTTACTTATTCATAAAATAAAATCTATACGAGTTGTATATATAACTAGTAAAAGCAAAAAGCCGAATCTCACTGTAATATCAATGATATCTACAAAATCAATTCAGGTTCACCCAATACTTATGTGTTCCAGAACTAAACCATAAATCAGCGGTAATTCTTATATTCTTTTAATAATTCCATAAAATCTTTACTTTCTGCTGCTGATTTTAGGTGTAGTTGTTGATTCTCAAGTTGGAGTGGACCGAGTGAATGTGAGCTGGGCTGTTGGGACTGCACACTTATTCCCAATTCTATATTTCCAGATTGAAGCAAATGCTATGTATGACCCATCGAATAAATGGACAGTTATGGCTTCGAATATTAGCATACAAAGTACAAAGCTACTTAAACCTTCAGGTGAATACGTAAATGTGTAGTCATTTTTACATTCTTTTTTTGACTAATTCAGATTTTTTAAAAATCAAGAAAACAGTGTGAGTAACCATTACTTTTTTTAATATTTCATAGAAAACAATTCATTCATTATGGCATAATTAATTTAAGTTGCATTTTATTTTATTGTGTTGTATGCTAAACTGAAAGATGGATGATACACTGATGATTCTGAAAAGTGATTTACAACCTCGAACATTGTTTTGACAAATGCATAATTGGACCGCATTAGATTTTTAAACCCCTTATGCGATGACTTATTGAAAATGCTTTGTGTACTTATCTGCGTTAACTACGCACGCTTGAATACCTTAACAGTGTGAAATATACATCATGAAACTGTCTGAAATTAATTCACTGACGTACCAACTTTACTTGTTTAATGGCCTCTCTATATAAAGTCAACCCTTGTTCATCTTCACTTAATTTACATTTCCTGTATATCATTCTTGTGTTCTTTAAGTTCTGCATGGATTAGTCACTGAATGGTAATTCGTCTATGTGTTAAGTTCAAAGTCAGAGCAATTCGACCCAGTACAGCAACGAGAAATTACAAAAATCAATAAACCACAATTGATTGAGGTCTGTGAATAAAGCTTGCAAGGTGACTGACTACCAAGCTATTTGACACCAAACTGCAGCATATTGTGTTTGTTTACTGTATCTGCTAATATTAAATGCAGAGAATAGAACATGCTCAGTCTTCTGTGAGGTTATGTGTTTTTCGAGTGACTACTTCGTGGTTAATAGCTATCTGACATAGCCTTCGACAACATAACATTTATGTAAAACTGTCAACAAGCATATTTTAATTTAAAACCGGAGAAAAAGCGAATTAAGTTGTGAGTATGACGAACTATTTCTCTCCGAAACTACACACATTCTCACCTTGTGCGATTGTCATTTATGTAACTGTTTACCCTTACCCTCGGTTACATGTTTCAAAACTACTTGTTGAGTCATTAGATATATTTATAGACTAAGTGAACCAAACGTGACATAAGGTGTGAAATATATAAATTGTCAGAATATTTTTCATCAGTTAACTGCAGCTAAACACAATCTTAGCTTGACACAAGAGATCGAAGTGGGTGACCAAATAGTTTTCCTGATTTTTAGGATGCGATCAAAAGTATACGACCTTGTGTTTCGAAAAAATTATTTAATGTATAATAATGGTGAGACATTTTCGAGAAAAGGCAAACCACTTCTGTGTAACGGCTAATTAGTGCGTCACTGACGAAGCCACCCGACAGGTTTCGCTCAGACTTATTATGCAATTATAAATCCCATTCTTCCTTTAAAAATCAGTTTTACCACTATTCCTTCTACCGATGAAGTATTTTTATTGATGCTACACTTGGATACCTTAGCACTGAGACTACAGTTAAATTAATTTATCTTCTTGGTCTCGCCCACTGTAAGCGAAGATTGATTCCTACACCTCACTTTTATTCGCATGCGTAAAACGAATTTTGAAATCAAAATATTTCTTCCTTTCTTTCATCATATACAGTGGTTTGGATAGTGCACACTAAAAGCATGGCTTTCTCAATGAATAACATATCTTGTATTGAAAGTTGTGAAAATTTCAAGTCGGAGATTGAAAATACAGTTCAAGAGCATTTACCATATTTTTATTTTACCAATATTACTCGATACTAGTTAAATATTTGTTAGTAGTATTTTCCTATATACAGAGAGTTTCCCAGTGATAAAATAACTAAAATCGAAATGAGTTATTTTAATATTTTATGGTTTAGTGATAGGGTCTAAAGCGGTAATGAAATATTGAAATTAAGTTTAAATATTTACGGCTCAAAACGTAAATTTTTTTATCAAGTTAACTGAGATCATTGGTGAAAATTTCTGAAGCCAGTGTCTCGATGATTAACATTGGACCAAGCATTACTGCATAACAGTTCAAGCTGCCACATCTCATATCGACACGATGATATTGAAGGCACCAAGTTGAAGGATAGAAAAATAAATAAGGAGGCAGTTAAAAGCCTTAAAAATGGGGAAAAGAGAACAAGGAGGAATGAGACAATAGTGAAATTCAGTGTGACGATTAAGATGAAGACTATGTAAGGCAAGATCTGTGGCATTGCGATTGATTCTGAGCCATATCACCTAGGGTCTCCAATCACCGATTTTGGTCGTCATTTGGACCCTAACCATAGGGTTTGTATTTCAGTGACCATTAACCGGAGACTTCATACATTGTTTTGGTCTGGCCATCTTCAAGGTTTTTCCGGATCAAACCTAATTCAACTAATACCGTACGATGGGGTAGGTGTTGACCAGGCATGTGTAAAAAGCTCCAGCCATTTGAGTATATAGGACCTCACCAAATGACTTCTCTTCTTTACAAAACATACGCTTGAATTCTACACTACCTAAGTTGTGATCCACAAAAAATTTCGATTTCACGAAGGTAATCGTTGTCAAAAATCTGAAACTTTTGAATATTCTCAGCCTTTGATGCTTATGTTTCACAGCCATGTGGTAGAAAAGAGTGAAATATTGAACGGCATACTTGACCCTTAATGTGCTGTGGAATATGATGTGGCCGCAGTTAACGGCATCAGTTAACAAAAGCTAATTGAGCCTTTTGCATGCGGGCTGAGATGTCATCAGTTACTAACCCACCAGGACTGATCCGTCTTCCCTAGTGAGTGGAGTGGTCAGCTCACTAAACCACTCGAATTCCTACTATCAGATACGATGTCAATACAGACCAGTCGTGGAACAATAATTTGTATTTGGTTGCTGAGACGTGCATCCTAACACATTATTAAGTTGCTACTACAGTTGTTCATAAGACTGAGTTCTGTCAAGATCTTCATTTAACAGAACGTTGTCGTATGCGTACTGTACTTCTACTAATGAGCTTCCGGTGACAAAGTAAATCTTGGTAAAATCTAACGAGGAGAGGGTGACTTCCGTCTCCATGCTGATGTCAAAATTAAATAAAAATCAAGCGGATGAACATCCTTGACAGACACTACTTTATGCACGAAGTCATGTGATACCTCACCATAGTCTCTAACATACTGATGGGTATTCGAATACAAAACCTTTCACGGGATGATGTATTTATCCGACATTTCATTCAGTGAAAAACACTGCCGCAAGACCTATTGACTGAAGAAGTCAAATGCCGCCTTCAGGTCAAGAAACATAGCTAGTGTTGGGTTGCTCGTGGTCTACCTTTGTTCCTTAATCTGCCGGAAGATGATTAGTTGGTTGATGCACTCTAATCAGATCCGAAAACTGTCTAATTTCCTCGATTTAGTTGTTCCCTGGTTTCACTTAGATGTCTACTGATCATAGAAGCTAGGATCTTAAACACTATGTTGGTTAAACCAATTTCCCTATGGATATCACAGAAGAATTTCCTTCCTTTCTTTACGACTGGGACAAGTGTATGTCGAAAACAGTCAAAAGAGTCATATTTGATTCCTATTTGCTAGCAAACAATAGTTGTTCCAGCTAATAATCAATGAGTACCATCCTTAAATACCGCCGATACTGGCCCATATTTTGCTGCTGCGTTTTCCTATCTCAGGTCAGTTACTGTCTCTTAGACTTCCACAATGTTTGGACGGCCTATCTAAGTGTTCCGTTCAGGATCCAACTGGATTATGAGTAACAGAATGGTAGACGGGGGTAGTTGAACTGTTCTTGGGAGTGTTCCGTCTGTACTCTCACTCACCATTGAAGCTTTCACCCCTGTTTATTTGATAAGTGTAAACAACTGCCTTCTTCCTAATGTCTATCGCCGCTGTTTTTTCTGTTTCCTTAGTCTTCGCTGCTCACGGCATTGCAGACACTCTTTGTCAAGCTACATATGAACTACTTTCAGTCTTAATGGAGCGCAAAACCCTTAAGAATTTGTTCTTATCCATCCAGCAATTCTGAAGGTGTTAAAATCCACTAACCCATTCTATAATTTTGTTGAGCATTTGTTATGGTTTTTAGCACCATGTTTATGGCCTACTGGATATGGCATTTGGATTCTTCGGGATGAGTGACGTTGCCGTGCTCCGATAACTGTCCTCATTAAAAGCAATCTAAGTATCCTGATCATCAAGTTGCTCTAACAGTGGTCTTAAATCTGCAGTTTCTCTACACCTATTAAGGTGCAGACACACGTGTACTCAAGCCAACGTGTGATAGTTGTCAAGACACGTTTTTTAGGAGTAACAATCTTCCACCGATCCAATAAAGCGAGAACTGATAGCTGTATGGTCTATCTGTGTCTACCCATAAGTTGAGGTATCTACATACCACATGAGATAATGTTTGTCCTTACGTCTGAAGTACACGCTGGACAAAAATAAGGGATTTTATGAGCACCGTTGTAGCTAGCAGTTGCCTTTATCAGTTCTTTTAGCTAGGATTCTGAAAGTGATATTCAAGTACTATTCTGCCTGAATTACCCAAACAACTTATGTATCAAAGTTACCTGTTACAACAATATCTAAGCATTTAGCTTTCAGTAGGAGACTAGATAGTTTTTTTTGTTAGAACTCATCCTTCACTTCATCCAAACTACAGTCAGTGGGTGCAAAAACGGAGATTACAAAACGACGATGAGTTTCACTACTATTTATATTGCTCACTATACCGTTCAGTCAAATAGCACACAGGTGACTGTCAACTAAGATCCATTCGAGAAGTGCACTTTCTGCCTTAGGACTTGCTGCCATTCCTACACCTGCAAGATCTCTAGAACTAGCCACTAAATCCTGAGAAACTCAAAGTGTAAATTTTTCAAATTCACTATATTAGTTGGGTGAAGTGGATTACGGCACTTTGATCTTGTATGTGTGTCTCACAAATGCAGCAAGCCGTCATAGTCCGAGATGTCAGTGTTTCGGTCAACAAAGTTTGTTTTTCGATATGACGCTTGTTGAGCAAATTGAAACCTCCAATATATAGTTTAGAGCGTGTTGTTAGGAGACCTGGAATGCTGTTTCGTGAACTTCTGTCGCTATCGATGACCGTGACGCAGAGCGTGAAGAAACTAAAGATAAAGTATGAATATCATCCTAAAGGCTGGAGAGCAAAGATGTAGAATGTTGATGGCTATCTGTGGGGACTTGAGTGCTGGAAGTGTTATGAGGGTGGCTGAGAGTTTCTGACTCCCCACACTGCAGAAGGCTACTTTTTTGAAGCGTGTGAAAAAGAAACTGTATGATTGGTAGTCTTGCACGACTGCAGAACCCAACGGACATCTACCAGTTTCTGGTCGCGTCCAGCCTTTTTGGAAGTTTGAGATTTAACTTTGAGTTTGGCCCGAAGTATCACACATCCAGCAAAGAAATACTGCATAATGTAGGGAAACTTGCTGTTTTTTAACTTGGCTTTTTCTAATCCAGCCTTTCTGTCGGAAGGGTAGCATCAGCACACTTGGCCGAGGGAAGTATTTTACCTGTCATAGTCCCGTCATTCCAGCCCCCCACCATAGAATAAGCTATTTAAAACGTAGCGGTAACTACTTTTGTCTTAATTTTATGAGGCAAACCTTTCTGGTATGGTAGAACCTCAAAGAACATTTGTTCCAGCTGGAGTAGCTAGTTGGCTCATCGTGGCATGCAATCTCAATCACCGCACCATGGTAGAGCCTATCGTCCGAGTATTTTTCAAATGATCACTAACATGTACTGGACTGACGAATATTGCCAGTTCCACCTTAGATTTCTTTAGTTTTTATCTTATGCGAGTATCCGCTAGAATGTAAATTCGCCTTTTTAAATAAGTCCTGAATCTACTGAAATTTGAGCAAACTGGTGATTTATGAACAGATGATCTTGCTTTATGGAAGCATTGAAAGACGAAAAATGATACCGACACAGTGTGGAGGATGAAAAAATATTGCAAACTATACGTTTATCGTATTATGGATTCTGATCGAGCCTTCATTACACTAGAGAGAATTTATTCAGAGCACAGTCACTAATATCACGATTGATTGCTTAAGCAGTAATGTAACAGCTGGGACCAACTGCCACCCCTCTTGTCAAACCAAAAATTTGAATTCGGTATGTCGATAACACTTTCGTAAGTCCCGAGGATAATGAAGTAGAAAAAACGTTCAAACGAATCAACCAAATATTTGAAGGAACCCAACCGACAAAGGAGGGGGTTTCTAAGTATCATCATTACCAGAAAGCACGATGAAGCTTTGCGAACTCACATGTTATATATTGTAATAATCACTTTATTCCAAACAATTTTAATCCAGAAAAACCAATCAAATTTTGAACTGCAACGGCAACCACTCTATAGTGCATAAAACTTTTTGTATACATACTCTATTCTCAAGAGCTAATGCACATTCCAGCACCAAAATACTGCAGAAAACTGAAGAAAAATACCTGTGAAAAGTGTTCAAAATCAATGACTATTCAGTCAAATTCATCAAAAAGGTGTTCATTGGCAGAAAAGAGAACGATGCAACCACTTTAAATCAATGGGCGTTTTACTCTACCCTACACCAAGTATCTAGAAACTGTCAACTGATCGCTTCACCTATTCAGAACTGGATTTACACACGAACCAATAAAATCATTCTAGAACATGTAATGTAAGCCAAAATATCCTTTGGCGAGGGAATACTGGGCAAGTATAATCCACAAAATAAACTGCAAAGATTGTTTACAACACTATATTGATCAGTCTAGCCATCGGATTTCTCAAAGAATTCATGAACATCAACTTCCTGTCAAGCGATATGAAGCAACCACCTTGGTTTCAGTGCACATAGACAGTCATGATCACAGATTCAACTGGGAGAATAAAGAAGTTCTCCAAAAGCCATGTCTAAACATTGCAAGAAAATTCCTAGAAGTCTAAATTCCCAAAGAAAAGTAAGTCAACAGACACTTGGATATAAAACCAAACTACAATTTACTTAGAAAGAAAACGTCTACCAACCAAGTTAAAGTTACTTACACAAACCTATATTTAAGAACAATATGAAAGCAACAGATGCCATACTTTTGCTCTCTCAAAGATTCTGTCCCAACTTGTTCAGATGAAATGTAACGTCAATGTGTTACATGTATCAAAAGCCTCTTCACCAACCTACAACTGAATATCATTCAAGGTCGACAGAACTCTAAATATTCGTTTAACATACTACTATGCTTCACTTTATAAGGTTAGTGCTGAGGATTTCACCAAACCTGATCTTGATTCAAAAGTCAACAACAAAGTCGATAAGCTCTGAGAACACCAAACCACAATTACTGCTTCTCAGTCATCCTAGATCTCATCAGTCTGATCATCCATTGAAGTTGGTACGAATAAACCATACAGCTGTGGCTGTTAACTATTAAGCGTAGTCTTATGCTGAAAGTAATTATATGCTGCACTACGTTTTGGATAAAATCTAGGTTATAGTTTCGCAGAACAATTTAGATTTTTTGACTTGATCTGTTGAGTAACTAAAATAGACCTATGAATGTGGTACTGTATCCAGTAAGATAATCAAATTACGAACATCGTAATACCGGATTTCAACTTTCTTGGTTCCAGAATTCGTGTTACGTACTCCGGATACCCCATTTTTTGTTATACTCTCCGTAAACATTCTATCACTTCACCTGTGTAGTATATTTTTCAGCGGGAACTAATTTTCACTGTGGTGACTTGTTAATAGCCCTTTGTAGCAAGTTATTTGCGAAGTAGGATCATCTGTAGACATATACCCAGTAGGTGTATGATCGTCTAAATAATTCTGACGAATGATGAACCAGTATCCTGTGGTATCATGAAATCTCAGAGGATCTTCACACTGTTCAGACTACAAGTTAATGATAGCCCACACATTTAGTATAATTTGTGTACTAACATTCATGAACACTAATAAGCTGAGGAACTTTTCACTGACTAAACTTAACTTCTAGATATCATGGTATGTTGTCGGAACATTTTACTTAAATGAGTTATTTTTATCATATACTGTAAGTTGACTTGTTCACCTGATTAATCTGTACTATTTGCTTATTATTTGTGTTTTATAGATCGACGAATGACTTTTATTGGTAATTTAGCCGCTAATATGGCGTACAGAGTACGTGTGCGGGCAGGAAATGCTTTAGGATTGGGTGAGCCTAGTCCACCTAGTTTATCATTTACCACATTGCCAACAGCACCCACTCTAATGCCACAGAATGTTACAGGAGGTGGAGGTAAACATGGAACATTAGTATTTAAATGGATCCCGTTAACAAGAGTTAATGAAAATGGACCGAATTTTCATTACAGAGCTCATATTAAAGCTAAAGAAAATACGGAATATTCTTTTCATGATTTATGGACAGCAAAAATGACAGATGATGAAAAATTTATGCAGTATACTTTAACACTTGGAGATAATCTTTTCTATAAACCTTACGATGTTAGAATACAAGCTGTTAATAGTAAAGTAAGCTTTACTGTTATTGCTAGATAAATTTATCAGTCTTTATATTCTAACAATGAACTTTTAGAACTGCAGTATTCATATGATTAGGCTTTAGTTCATTGGTTGACATATATGAGCTAAGTTAGTCTTTGGTTTCACACGATATAATTTTAAGTTTCATGAGTATTACTTCATAACACTTAAATGAATATATAAGCTGTGATATGAATGATGAATGGTGACTAGCAGAAGAATGCAGGATACGTATCTCTTTCTGTTTACAACTCATTAGCTGAATTCACCTGCATCTCTGTCAGTGATGGCGTTCCCACTGTGATTTGAACCCAACATTCATTGCTATCTACATCAAAGCGTTTTTCATTAGGCCAATGAGTTACCAATAGCTACTGTTTGTGCTCATATTCAGACTTTAAGTTTTTACTGGAATGCTAGAACTCACAGATATTCACCATTGTGGATATCAATATTCGATAGATGTTTGGTCATTTATAACCTGAAATGACTTCTGCACATAATTCCACTGTTAGTGAACACTATTTGTGAGAGGAACTTTGGCAATGAAGCTCATTCAAATAAGCTTTCTAAAAGTAAAAGTAACAAACACACTAGATGGTTTATTTACTGTAAATAATATTCTATCAGTGTTTTGTAGCAAACAAACAAATGGAACGTAATTTATTTAAACTATGATTAAGATTTGATCGTATACTATGGCAAATATTGGGCGCTCAGTAAAAGGTTGATATAAGATATAGATTGTATTTGTGTAAGTCACAGCGGGTTTGAAATCAAATAACTCCAACGTTTCGCACGGAAGTCTGGTTCGAGCTTCTTCAGGGAAATAATCAAAATTAAAATATCAAGGATATATAAATGAATCCAGAAACGTATATTCAATCTCCTTGTCCAATCCTCTTCGTATAGTCATTGTCTTTCTAATCTATGATAACTAATCATTCAGTGTGAAATCGTATGTCTTTTGTTGTATGGCGTATGTATGTTATATGTGTATGTATATATGTACTCCAATTCATATTCGTCTTCATTGTAAATATCAGACAAAAAGGTCACTGGTGACATAGTCATTCGGTAATTTTATAAGTACAAGTTGAAAAGGATGAGGTGGATGTGCATACAATTTCAGTTGGAATAAAGTGGTGAACAGTGTTAGCTAATTTTCTTCGCACTGATTTGTCGGAATAGAGTGGAAATGAGTGGTAGTAATGATGGTGGCGGTGGTGATGATGATAGTAATAATTAATCAAATCAGTCCAGGTTGTGTTGTTGTTGATGCAGAAATAATGGAGTTGAGACTAGTGTTGACGGTAAGTGTTTTGAGTCACTCCTTCTGCTTACTAATTAGTAATTGTACTGGGTGATGACTGAAGGTGAGATGCAAATCTAAACCGCGGCCGGATTCGAACCAGCGACCACCGGATTACCGGCATAGTGCTCTACCAACTACTCTGCCAAACTACGGCTATGTTAGATAGTCAAATCATAATCAATATGATGCTCCCCCTCTCTAATTCAGTTAGATTTGGATTCGGATAAGAAGTCCTGATTAGGTAGCCAGTGTGAATATGACCAAGCGGTAGTTAAGTGCCACGAATTCACATAGTAGTCGCCCCAAACCCTTGGTGATTGAACTGAAATAAAATTCTGGTCAACAGTCGGACCTCGTAGCTGAGCTGGTAGATTACCGGGCCGGTAATCCGGTGGTCGTTGGTTCGAATCCTGCCGCGGTTCAGATTTTCATCTCACCTTCAGTCATCACCCAGTACAATTGCTAATTAGTAAGCAGAAAGAGTAACCTCGCGTGGTTAACTAGCACATTAGTTACTAGCCGGTCCTAACTAAGCCTGGGTAAAGAGGCAAGGTTGGAATAGGGATAGCAACCCTACCCCGTAAAACAAATCCAACCGCTAAAGAAACTTCAAAGCACAAACAAAATACAAAAAATAACAACAAAATTATTCCTCACTGGAATCGGAGAGGCGAAACGACGCCGGTTGGTGAAAACCTTCGGGAAACCAATTGGCCGATGTACCTTCTCTCGATGAAAGCGAAAGTAAACGTGGGGACATGGAATGTCCACACGATGTTTGAACCCAGCAAGGCAGCCCAGATTGCAAACGAGATGAAGAGGTATCACACTGAAGTGCTTGGAATTTGCGAAAGTAAATGGAATGGGAGTGAACTCTCCAAACTGTCAACTGGAGAATCAATAATCTACTCGGATATTGTCACCCAGACGACAACCACGGACGAGCACACTGAGTTTTCGAGTGGCTATCATTATGTTCCCAAGAGCATCGAAGGTTCTCTCTCATGCAGTGGGAACCAATCTCCTCCTCCAGGATCAGCATCATGACAGCAAGGTTCAACTCAAAAGGAAGGAAGGAAGGTCACAATCATGCTACGCACCTACAAATAATGCAGAGCAAGAGAAGAAGAAGGAATTCTACAGACAACTTCAATCAACACTGGACAAGACCTCAGTTGACGATATCAAAATTCTGATGGGCGACATGAATGCCAAACTGGGAGGGGACAACACAGGTAGATAACTAACCATGGGTCGAGAAGCTCTCGGTGAGGTGATGAACTGGAATGGAGAATTGTTTGCAGACTTCTATGCATTCAACGATTTGGTGATTGCAGTCAGGTAGTGTGTTCAAGCACGGGGATATCCACAAAGCAACATGGATTTCATCAAACACAAAGACACACTACACTAAAAATCAGATCGACTTCATCTGAATATGAAAAAAGTGGAGACGCAGTCAGCCTAGTTGACACAAGATGAAGAGGGGGAGCAGATGTAGGTTCACACCACTCACTAACTAGTGCAAGGAACCTACCTTCCAAATCAAGTTAAAAGTTTCCGAAGAAGAAGCTGGTGATAGACCACAGTTCAAGTACAACACTCGGAAACTGAAGGATGAAACTATAAAGGGGATCTTCACGGCAGCCATCAAGACAAAGTGGGAGATATCGAGGAACATCCCTGAAGAAACCTGTATGAATGAACACTGGAAGTCTTTGAAAGAGATGTGGAAAGAAACCTGCACAACCGTATTAGGAAGGCAGAAGAAAGAAGATAAGGAATAAATCACAATGGATACATGGAAGCTGATAGAGGAGAGGAGGACGGTGAAGCAGAAGATGAACCAGTGCAAGGATGCTCAACCACAAGAGGAACTGAGTACAATGTATAAAACACTGGACAAGTAAGTGAAGAAGAGTGTGCACAAAAACAAAAGACACTTCCAGGACACACTGGCAAGTGAAGCAGAACAGGCTGCAGGTAGGAGAGACCTGACAACATTGTATCAAATAACGAGGTTACTATCTGGGAGGAAAGAGATCATTTCAGACGAAACCAATAAAAGATAGACAAGGAAACTTAGTTAGCAAAGAAGAGAAACAAAGGAAACGATGGGCTGACCACTTCAAAAAGCTCTTGAATCGACCACCACCTGCACTTCATCCAGCAATACCACCTGCAGCCACAGAACTACAAGTGAACATAAATCCTCCAACAAAAGTGGAAGTCATGAACGCCATAAAGCTGCTGAAATGCGGGAAAGCAGCAAAAGCAAATGGAATCCCACCAGAAGCACTGAGAGCAGACGCAGAGACAACAGCGGACATGCTCACACCACTATTGCAAAAGGTATGGAAGGAAGGGAAGTTACCTACTGATTGATTGGAAGAAGGGTTACCTTGTCAAACTCCTGAAGAAGGGAGACCTCAGTGTTTGCAAGAACTGGCGTGGAATCACTCTCCTGTCCACCCAGAGCAAGCAAAATCTTAAGCCGCATCATCCTGGAGAGGCTAAAGGATGCACTGTATTCAAAACTACGACCGGAACAGGCAGGCTTCAGGAAGCACAAATCATGCACGGACCAAATTGCAGCGCTACACTACGCATCATCATAGAACAGAGTGTAGAATGGCAGTCGACTCTCTACCTCAACTTCATCGACTTTGAGAAGGCCTTTGACAGTGTCGACCGAGAGGTAATTTGGAAACTGCTTCAACACTACGGAATACTGCAAACCTTTATCAGTCTCATTCAACAGCTACATGAAGACGCCATATGCCAAGTAATTCACAATGGGAAGCTCAGTGATGCTTTTGAAGTGAAGACAGGGAGGAGTGAAACAAGGTTGCCTACTATCCCCCATGATATTCCTGATTGTGGTTGACTGGGCTGGATCATGCAGCAAACAGTGAGGAGCGAGAAGAGGGGGATACGCTGGACTGAGGAAAAGAACCTAGAAGATTTGGATTTCACCGATGACTTGTTCCTGATGTCACACAAACTTGAAGATCTACAGGCGAAAACTAACAAGTTGGCAGAAGAGGCGAGGCAGGGCAGCGAAGACGGGACTTCAAGTGAATACAGAGAGGACAGAGGTGATGAAGATACCGCACCAACAACAACAACAAACTCCAGTCACCATGAACGGGAGAAACTTAAAGGAAGTAACCTCCTTCACCTATCTAGGCAGCACCGTTTCAACTACAGGCAGCACAGGCACAGACGAGGATGTCAAAGTCAGGATGGGAAAAGCAAGACAGGCGTTCGTTAGCCTGAAACCAGTGTGGAGATCTTTTGCACTCAGCATGTGGAACAAGATATGGATTTTCAACACCAACGTCAAGTCAGTACTTCTGTATGGTTCAGAGACTTGGCGCGTTACGAAAGGGATTTCCAATAAACTACAGATATTCATCAACAACTGTCTACGCTGGCTCGTTACTGAAGATCAGATGGCCAGAAATAATACGCAACAAGGGACTCACTGTGGCTGGCTGGGCAACGAACTAACCAAGAACCTATCGCTCAAGAAATATGCGGAAGAAGGAAGTGGAGATGGATTGGGCGTGCACTGAGAAAGCCGACTGGGGACAACACGCGTCAGGCTAGGCCCTTGAGTGGAACCCCCATGGGAAGCGACGAGTTGGGCGTCCGAGGTGAGGGTGACATTGAGGAGATCGTGTGAGGAAGAAATGAGAGCTTGTGGGCAGTCGTGTTGACAGGTTCGAAAGATTTCAGAGAAGAGAGTGAAATGGAGACGTGCAACTGAAGCCCTATGTTCCATTAGGAACCCAAGGGACTAATAATAATATAAGCAAAAAGAGTGACTCAAAACACTTACCGTCAACACTAGTCTCAACTCCATTATTTCTGCATCAACAACAACACAACCTGGACTGATTTGATTAATTATTACTATCATCATCACCACCGCCACCATCATTACTACCACTCATTTCCACTCTATTCCGACAAATCAGTGCGAAGAAAATTAGCTAACACTGTTCACCACTTTATTCCAACTGAAATTGTATGCACATCCACCTCATCCTTTTCAACTTGTACTTATAAAATTACCGAATGACTATGTCACCAGTGACCTTTTTGTCTGATATTTACAATGAAGACGAATATGAATTGGAGTACATATATACATACACATATAACATACATACGCCATACAACAAAAGACATACGATTTCACACTGAATGATTAGTTATCATAGATTAGAAAGACAATGACTATACGAAGAGGATTGGACAAGGAGATTGAATATACGTTTCTGGATTCATTTATATATCCTTGATATTTTAATTTTGATTATTTCCCTGAAGAAGCTCGAACCAGACTTCCGTGCGAAACGTTGGAGTTATTTGATTTCAAACCCGCTGTGACTTACACAAATACAATCTATGTGTAACGTTAAATGTAGCATGGACTTAAATTGTATCACGGTGCTCAAGTTTTACTCTTGCAGTGTAAGAATCACTGTAGATGAAGTCTGTATCAATAGTGAAAGCTTCGTGAACTAAAACAAACTTGGAAAGCAATAGAATTGCTTATATGTTCTCAATCTGTTCTGAAAATATATCGCATCAAATCAAAGCCAGAAATGAATGAACTCTACTGTGTTAGTCGATATAAAATCGGTATTTATGAACCATCTGTGAACCTTATAAAGATAGATTTTTTACAATCAACTGGTTACTACTGAAGAGCTTAGAAGAATACTGATTAATTATCAAGATCTTAGATTTACTGAGAACGTATTTATGCCCATATATTCTATGCTTGTCAAGTCTTTTTCAGTTTTCAACTAGTTCACTTAACCATTCCAGTCTACTCAGCTTCTTTCTTTAATTCTTCATGAAATGCTCCATGTACAGTCATGTGTTGTTATAAGATTTCATGTCTTCTAATTTTGATTGACATAAGTACATTTACAGACATTGGCTGATTCCATACGCTTGGTTTATGTTACGATTAAAAACTGTCCGTCAAATGATGCATTATGTTCACTGAACTACTGAGTGAATAGATTTTTTTTTCATATCTATAAAGTGGTGTGAATTTATTCGTCTACAGAAATGTTTCTTACTGGTGAGTGTCAATCAGCTTATAGTTTCAAACCCTTAATTTAAAGCATATGCTCAAACTTTCTTACAAGATTTTAGATAAGAAAGTGGGATATTTTAATTTTTATGCGTAATAAGTACTGTTTACAATGACAAGTAACAACAAAATGTCAACACAACTTTGTTTAGTGAAATCAGTCAAAACAGGACGATGAAATAGCGAATTAAGAAAACTGTGTGAATGGAAGTGGAGTCAGAATAATGTCTACACACTTATCTTGCCCTGAGCTTCACATAACGATTTCTATCAGATTTTGACTGATATCATATTGATCTTGATGACTAGCAGAAAAATCCAGAACGCGCTTTTCGTCCCATTTGAGACTCATCAGCTGGATCTGCCTGCACCCCAGTGAGTGATGCTGTTCCCAACAGACACGCGCATGCAGATGAAAAGTTCTGAATTAGTCAATATGTCTGTCCAAAATTCTTTCAGTAGCTTTTATATGATGAATGACACTAGAACAACCAAAATATTATATAATACATCACGTTTTTGTCTTAAAGCCAATACAAAATTGTAAACTGGTACTATGTTGTCATATTTGTTGATGTTTTCACTGACCGCAACGTTACTAGTTGAATAAAGAATTCAGGTTGTTAAACTTTGTTGACCTTTGTCTTACATACTAAGTCTTTACTCATTTCATGAACAGTATTTTATTTCAACCACTGAAGGTTTTTGCCAGGCTACCATGTGAATCAATAAAACGTTACTATTCGTTCATCGTAAGGTGGCCCTGGTTAGATAGTCTTATTGACAATCAGTACATGCTATTCCCATATAATTCAGCTTGGCTTTGATTGGAATGAGAAAACTTGACTGAACAGCCAAAGTAACCACAATGAATGGGCAGTAAAGTTTCACTGGTTCACATGGCAGCCGGGCGAAAAGACCTCAGTGATTGAAGTGAAGTTGAGATCCGGCCAGAAGCTGGGTTTCGTAGCTCAATAGGTAGACAGGCAGGCCTGTAACCTAGAGGTTACTGCTGGGAATCCTGCAGAGACCCAGTTTCTCATTTAAGCTTTAATAATCATGCAGTGTCAATAATAACAGTCTACCAAAGCACGGTTATCTTAAATGGTCTCATTACCTATATTTTATTTATTGCCAAAGAATGTGTTGACTAGTTCACAATCAAGCATTCTATCACAGACAGGATAATATTTTCGGAGGATGTTATACTTGAATGTTTCATTTATTACATCATATATGAGCATCGGTTGTTGAGCTGTCACACAGTTCAGTTTGAGTATATTCGTGTTTTAAAGTGAGTGAATTATTGTGACAAAGTTGGCTGTTCTAGGATTTTTAAGTTGATATTCATCGTGGACTGACATCATTTGGAAAAACATCGGAAACCTGAGAGCACTGGACAGCGTTTTCGTCCTAGTATGGGACTCCTCAGCAGTGCGCACCCATGACCCCTCCAGAGATAGAACCCGCGACCTTCAGGTTCCGTGGCCAGCACACTACCATTGAGCCACTGGATCGAAATCCAATGGTCCATATTTCCAACTTCTGTTAATAATTCGAAGATTTCTGTCGTGAAAGAAAAAGTACATAATAAAAACCATGTGTGGAGTGGGACTGTCGTTTCTTCTCACTTTGAAATTTGTCGACTGTCCATCGTTTCTCGATAGCGATTAAAATATTTCAGTCTTGTGTGAAACCATAATCTAAAGGTGAACACAAATGATATAAATTCCTAAAAGTAACTTTTAAAGCTTCCACTAGTCATTAAAGTATTAAACTCTTTGAAGGTATATCTCCAAGCTTATCTATAAAGAGATGATCTTATATTGGTTAGTTAGGCTATAACTGATACTGCGTACTTAATGTTGGAAAAAAAATATAGTTTTTCTTAATGCTCTTCACCAACTATGAAGTGATGTGATTTATGCTCATCGAATCACAGGAAAAGTAATAAGTTTACATTTGCACACTGTTCAGTAATGGAATAAAATTACTATTGAATACTTTCTGGTTTCTTTAAATGATCTATGGAAACTGAGTGTTACAATGAGACATGATAGTTTATGTGTATAGTGAAAGTGAATTCTATTTTCACTGGGTATCAAATTAAATGACGTCAGTTTATCTTTTAGTAGTCTGTGACTGTAGCTTTGCTTGTGAAAGTTAAAAACACTTCATAGTCGAAATAAAATAGTAATATTACTGACAATTTTTATTCATCCCTGAAATTCGGTACTTATATATCCAACATTAAATGGTTAGGGTTTCAAAGAGTAATTCATTTTGCAGTTTATTTGATGCCTACTTCCAAAAAGTATGGCAGCAACACTTCAGTTTCAATAAATTAAAATTTAACGTAAAGATACCAGTAATTTCAATGAGAAGATTGTTGTAACACTTGGAAAAATGCAGCTATCTCTCTGTGTAATCTCAAGCAGATTATTTTTAAGACTGGCTGAAAGTAGATAGTTTAACTGAAATCATTGTAAATACTTTCTGTAAACCTCTAACTTAGTTAACTTTGATAATCAGTTGTGTTTTACCTTCATGATTAAAATATAAAGTTACTTATATCAGTGTGGTTAGTTAACCATAAATTCATTTTTCTGTGAAGTACCTTACCTGCAATACATCATGTACACGCATCATATGCAGCACAACATCTTACTTAAAGCAAAAGTAATCAGCAACATCGAGTCAATTAGGACTACCCAAAGGATGTCTACAGACGTCTCTTCGATGATTTATAGGATGCTTAATCACCAGTTACAGAAGATTTGAATTCATCTTCTAAAAACTGAGAAAGACATAGCAATTCAAACTAGGCTATCGGAAGATAGTCTGGGAAACCACTGGACTAAATTTCTCTTCTTTGACCGATTAACAGCCAGTATATAGTATTAACCATTTGCACAACAACTCATCAAACTGTAGTTATTTGAATTGTGCTGTTTTTTAAATCATAACAGTTACGTCAGGCTGACAAGTGCTAAATAGGACGAGAAACACGTCCGGTACTCCACTACTAGCTACTCCTCATCATGTTCTGTATTTTTTTAAATCAATTTGCCCTTTTTTGCTTTTCATATTGCTACTCTGCCACGTATTCAGAAGCTATCGGGATATCCTAAATAATCTCTTTATCCTCACTTCCTTAATAACCGAAGTCGATGATATTCTTATACTTGCTTGCTCCTTTACTTACCGAATATCCAAACATTTGTCAAGTCCATAAGCTACGCAGATTTAATCCACAAATTAATCAACTGCAAATACAACTATCACTCCATACATTTGTATAACTACTCGGTGCATGTGTCTGTGTGTACAACTAAACGTTGAGCGTCATGTGACTTAAATGAGAATATATTTGTAATTAAATTTATTACTTCTGGAAGACAGCCACTTAGCTCCGTTTTATTATATTTGGGTAAACATTTTATATTAGGGTGCCGGTCCCTTGACTGAACCAGTAACAATTATGTCTGCTGCCCGTGTACCAACGAATGCACCAAGCAGTGTAACCGCTGGAGCATTTAATTGTTCAGCTATTCGAGTTTGGTGGAACCCTCCTCTTCCATCAGAAGGTGAAGGTCCTACTTGGGGTTATCGAATCTTATACTGGCCACGTATATCTGATTGTCGTTCCCTTGAATCAGATCGTGCTAGATATCAGCTTGGCCAACGTCAAACAGTTCACGGAGATGTGACAGAAGGTTTAATTATTGGACTAGATGCTGATACTTATTACTGTATTGCTGTTCAGGTAATTACTTCAGAATTTATCGGTTTTATTTTATTAAATCTTACTGTTTCTCTTCACTTTCAAGTTAATTTTTAAAATATATGCTAACCTCTGAAATAAATTAGCTCCCAACAATCATGAAGATCTGTATATCACTAGTAATATGAAATTCCACAGTTTGAGAAGCTGTGAGAAGGAAGATTTTTAAAAAACACTTATTAGTCCGGACAAAAAGAGAATAAGTAAAATAGGTTTCAGTTCCCTTCATACTCACCAGCCAAATGTACATGCATCTCAAATGTAAATCTGGGAAAACGAGTCATCGAAAGATAATTATCTCCCCTATAACTTACTTTTGTCTTTCTATGGTGATATTGTTACACTGGAAGTTCTCTTGCTAGTCTTAATCATCAAAAACATGCATAATCCATTGGATGAAATTATTTTACCAAAAGCCGTCCAGGTAATCGTGACTGCAGTTTTCATCCAATAAATTTGCAACAGTTTTATAACTATCACATTAGGACTTGTTATTTCCCGTTGTTGATTAGCTTCGACTGAAAAGATCGATGGGCGTGAGCACATAGGTTCCTCTACTGATCGCTCGGTATGACCAATGATTTCATTTTGATATTGAGGACTGATACTGACTAGCAGATATATCCAGTTAACGATTCTCAATTAAGATGAAACGTGTTTCCTATATTTCACTGTTGGCCCACTGGCTTAGGCACTTGACTTCCAACCCTTCACTACCCACCGACGTTTTCGCCACCAGTTTGTCTCAGTATCTCCCACACAACAGATGTGGTTTATTGTCGATTGCCCAGATTTTCACACCAATGTCAAGTCAGTGCTGCTATATGGTCCAGAAACTTGGGGAGCCACGGAAAGCATTTCCAGAAAACTACAGACATTCATCAACAGCTTCCACCTACGCTCACTTGATACTGAAGATCAGATGACCAGAATAATAAGGATAAGCAACAAGTAACTCTGGCTGGTGACGAATTAACTAAGAACCTATCACCCAACAGATATGCAGAAGAAAGTGGAGATGGATTGGATTTGGCATACACTGAGAAGGCCTACTGGGGACATCACGCTCAAGGCTTTAGAGTGGAATCCGAAGGGGAAACGACGAGTTGGGCATCTCAGCTGAGGGTGATATGGAGGAGATCGTGTGAGGAAGAAATGAAAGCTTGTGGGCAGTTGTGGAGCGAGGTTGAAAAGACTGGAGAGAAGAGAGTGCAATGGAGGCGTGCTACTGAAGCCCTATATTTCACTAGGAACCAAAGGGGAAAATAATAATGATAAATTATCGATTGCGTGAATGTGCATATAGTTGCTGAGTGCTCTTTTTCTCGTATTATGATGACTGAACGTAAACAAACTTCACTATATTATCTTGTTATCGTTTGTTTGGTTAAGAATGGTCTCATTCGTGACCAAGTAGTTTCCATTTTCAGCACAATTTACACTTAAGTAACTATCTGTATAGTGTTGAATATCTTCCCACAGGCATTGTATTCTTTATCATTTTCTACAATGTTTCTTATATGAGCATGAAATCGTTAAACACCAGTTCAACTGAGTTATTGTTTAAAGCGAAGGATTTTTTCATGAGTTGAAAACTGCACAGTTCAGTAGTAGGGAAGCTGTTCATTTGATTATTATTTAGATGGTTTGTGTGATTCTGTTATGAATTCATCACTATCAGTAGCGTAGAAAAGTAATGCTATTTGCATTATCGCAGCACAATAGCTTATACATTACTTATGAATGAAGTATCTACTGGTTTGTTTGCATCAGTGATTTGTAATGCCTTAAATACATAAAATCTTCGTATTTACTTACTGATTGATACTCAGAATCGATAAACGAGGATGTATTCACTTTTTATGAATAAGACCTTTGGTCTTCCCTTAAAATTGGTCAACTGACAATTCTAAAAGAAGAAATTTTTATGCTGCGTGATTTCTTTCGGTGTTTTTTAGGGGTTTCACTAAATATGTATGAGAAAATGGTTTGGGAAATATGAATGACCGCTGTGATTTTTTACTCTTTCAAAATTTACTTCTACTTCATGAAGAACACAATGGAAAATTTCCTCTAAATTATATTTCCCAAATTTCTTCATTTCCAAAAGATATTCAATAGTGCTGGGGATGGACCTGAATCAAGTTTTACTGAGCAAACAACATTTAAAACAGCCCCAAGAGAGTTTCCGACTATGGTTACTTTAAATGCAACTGGCATACCTAATACTATTCGTGTTTCATGGGTAGGAATTCAAGCTAAACCAAATGAAGAATCAATAGAAGGGTACTGTATTCGCTATTGGCCGACTGGCTCTCAGTTTAAACAAACTTTTAAAGATGTTGATGTCGGACTAAAGACCTTTGGTTTTATCAGTGATTTAAAAACTGATGTAAGGTACAACCTACGGGTATATGGTTACAGTCGTGGAGGTGTTGGCACAATGAGTTCACCAGTAAATCAGTTTCAAATTATTGCTAAACAGAAATGTATACCTGGGGCAACTTGGGGTAAGAGTACAGTTTATGCTTTCTTACTACGAATACTTTAATATTTATACCAATGATTAATTTAATCATTACTAAGGACGTCTTTTTAAATGAATTTTAATTGTCTCGTTCTTTAATGTAATTACATAGTCCGAGGTAATTAACAAAATGTCATTTAATCATCCTTCAATGAAAAGATTTATACTACACTATTGGTATCGGTACGCTAGGTAATCATTATAGTGTGAGTTAACTGAAATTTTTAAACACTGGGTTTTCTGTATGGTAGGATCCATATTGTCATGACAACTGTAAAAATAGGGTTCAATCGATGAATAGGATCATCAACTTGCAAATTGCACAGTACACTTTGACATTTCTAACAGCTGATTGGTTTTTCAACAACCCAACTTTGTTGTCAATAGAGTTACCGTTCGAAAACAATTGAGTCAAGATCACAAGATGCGATCTCTGACACATAAGTGTTATAAACTAACAAAATAAACTACTGGACAACTTAAGTAGTGAGAAACTAATCAGGTTGGTTTGCAGATTTTGCCAGCTAGACTAGAACTATCTAAATACTGGGCGGTGGTTTCAGTTATTTGGGGCCGAGCTCTCCAGCTGCTTACCCGAACAAATCCAGCTCATATCCGGGTATACCACTGATGAGGTCGACCGTAAATGACAGAAACGGTCATCAGGCGTTTAAACCTCTGTGATCTGACTGCTGAAATCTACGCATCAGCCTGAGTTCAGTAGTTTTTTTCTTTAACCTATAAAGCCGATAAGTCTTGATCAACTAAGGATAGCTTAAGAAAGCGACCTATTTACCTTAAATTCCTCAACAAAATGAACGGCAGAAGATGAAACGACTGATTATGGGGCTTATTATATTCTTTGAGTGAAACAACTACTTATAACAGTCTAAAAAATAGATGCAGTTAAACATCTTTTTGTTTATGACTAACAACAGACCGAAAGTGGTTGAAAGTGATTGACTGGGTAATCAGTTTGAATGATGAATGTTAGACTTTGGCATTCATAACCGTCTGATAACCGATAATCATCGAATGTTTAGCTCATCTCACAGCCAGTCTTACCTAAAAAGCTAAGCAATAGAAAACAACGGTTGAATATTTATAGCCTCATGTAGGACTGTGTATACCTGTTGTTAATATTTTATAAAAGGTGCTAAACTTCGGTTTAGAGCTACAGGTATTGTTCTCGAACATTCGACAGATTACAATTCACTTTACTGTTGTCTCACTAAGGGTAGCGGTGACAAAAGATCTAACTTATTGGCATCGAAATCCAAAGCATATTGTTAGTACTGTATTTTTAAAACTACTTTACCCACGCTTTCTATGGTGTATTCTTGATTTTTTTAAACTGCTCAAACTATTTCAATTACTCATTATGAAGTTTAATTTATTTAAATAGTTTTGTTAGATTAAAATATTTTACTTATAATCTGAGACATCTTTGGCCTGACAAATATTTCATTTACATAAACTTAGATAACGTGGGAAGTCAATAAATTTTTACCGTTGCTTTAGCGGTAAAATTTCTCCCTAAAAATTGGAGTATCTGTAGAGGCCACCCTAGCAACTGATGAGACAGCTAATTACATTCTTTTATTTTATGGGAAAGTACTTTTTCAGGTAAAATTAGTCATTTCAGTAGTCGCTACGGTGGCCTTTAAAGTCACTCAAAAATTTAGAACTGTCTTCTCAATGTTACCATTTACAATCGATCTTTCAAGACCCGTCTATACCGAGGTGTACAAACTTGTTTGACATGAAAGATCAAATGAATATTGGTTGTTTATCATAGATTATTCGATTTCATATTACGTTATCCTCAGTCCATATCGAAAGGTCTACAATGTAACTGCTATGCTAAATGACTTGATATCAGTCCACATTATGCAGCCAATATACAGGAGGAACAAGAATTACGCTTCATAATTCTTGTCACTAATCAAACTGATGCATTGGAAATATCAAGGAGACCCAAGCTCTTCCAGAGACTATGATGTACATGTTTCATTCCAATCAGTAGTCCTAAAAAATGTCACATACTTATTGTTCACTGAGGAAGGCTGTTTAAATAAGGTTATAACTGCTTCTGCTATGATACTCATCCAGTAATTATTTTTAAAGAAAATAGGGCAGTGGTTTAAGAATAAGGTTCAGTAATAAATTTGGTAATTAGCTATTTAGTGACAAAAGGTGCATGTTGGTTGGAGAACCAAACATGCATGACCAACCTTGAAATTAGCTTATCTTGCAACTAAAAGGGTGTCTGCTTTTATATGTAATTTACTGTTATTATGCTGGTTAGAATTCATCGACCTGGATTCCACGGGTAGCCATCATCAGTAAAACATAAAAACTTGTCTGTTTTTCTGTACCAGATTCACAATAGTTTCTTCCGTTTTTTCGATTCCGACATACGTCATTCTTCGCGCAGTTACATGCAATCCCGAGATGCTGTAGGGATTGAATTTATACGTAAAATACTGTTTACTTGCAGTTTCACGCGATTTATATAAAAATAAAGATTCACTATGTCATGTTTATCACAGTGCTGTCCATCAGCGGGATACGAAGTCGAGCAATTTTGATTTAATCTTACTATTAAGGAGCTACTGAGCAACTGTATTGGATTGTGCTTGCGTTTCTAAATTAAATGATAAGTAATGGAATGTTCAATTCCTCAGACTCTCAGATACATTATTGAAGCACCACTAATGTTACAAAAGTCTAAATCAAGGTCATGCGTGCATATTATTAACGTTATCCCACATCTCCAACCATGCAAATCGTAAACATTCTTTCATGCAACAAAAATGAATAGGGTGTTTTCTTCTTTTTTCACAGATGGTCCAGATTTTCGCTACAACTTTATATGCAAAGGTCATTCTATTGGTACATCCCTGGCTTTCACAATACTTCTGACATTTTTATCTACAGCTTTAAAATACCATATATAAATTTCATTGCAAATATTTCCAATAATAAAGTGTAGAAATCAATGTGTATATTAAACAATGATACTTTGAATTACGTTTTTCAAATGTTAACTACAAATTTTAATGATACATACATCATTTCTTTTTTACTTAATATGGATACATTTTGCAATAAAGAAGATCCTTCCAAAGTGAAACGTTAGCTTTGAAAAACTATTTTTCTAAAGGTTGGAGCTTCGATAATGTATTTACCGTTAACATTAAGCTAGATGTATAGGTTTTGAACTCAAGCTAAATATTCATGATAGTGAACTAGATGGTTTTATTATCTAGCATCTAAACTGTTATTATCTCCATCCCTAAAATGAACCAAGTTGTTTTCTTAACCAGGTTATTTATGATGTTTCAGAACTTCGAGTTCATTTTAAGCTTTATAAGGTGTTAGCGTCACATTAGGCTTCTTGCTTTTTATTGCCCAGCTTAACTTCAGAACGCGTGATTACTTATACACAAAACAGATACTTCCACTCTACTTAGGCCTTTCGACTTTAAAAATTGTTGTTCACACATAATTATTGTATAATACTTTACGAAATGGAACTGCACACACCGTAGTACTGGTCACGCACCACAGTGAACTAGCAGACATCAAGAGATTGCTGTAAGCTCGTAGAGACTAAATGTTTTTTAAAAGAATCCTTAAGCAGAATAACGTGCTATTTACATGGTATATGTCAGGTTCGGTTAATGCACAATCTCAAGGATTGAAAGCTAGCACTGAATCTAGCTTACTTTTGTACTAATCCATGATGGTAGGTGCAACCAATTTTCATATATCGACCTGTTAATAAGCAGTTTTTGTGTTAACAACCAAAATTAAAACAAGGTATGTTAGCCATAACATTGTTTTTAATTCAATCCTTTTAAGACTCGAAAATAAATGGCTAATTGTGTCACATGAGGTGATAGGTTGAGTGTAACCTTTGTCAATTGGTTGGTAATCAGACTTATGGGGAAGGAAAATTATTAATAAAGTTCAAGGTTGCATCGTGTCGAGTGAGTGATTAGTACGAAGAATGACATGAGTTTACCAAAGGGCAGAAATGGAGTGGGTAGTTTGCCATAATATGGTTAATATGTGAAATGAATAAGATAGAGTAATAATAATGTGGAAAATAAATGTTAACAGGAATTTTAAAGGTTTACCATAATAAGACAGCAGGAAAGTCTGGTTATAAATAATACCATTAATAATCATAATAATTTCTTTTTTTTTATTTTAAAAAGAAAGAAAAGAGCGGAAACAAAAAAGAAGACTTAGAAGGGAACAAAAGGGTTGAGGGAATACAGTCTAGTCAATGGAGGGTCAAGCGAGAAGTAGGGCCCAGACGCGTTCTTTTTGAATGCAAAGTTTAGGCTTCGCTGATCTTACAGCTCCCGCTATATGGAGAATGCGTAAACCAATGGCACTTGGTAAAGTCTTCAGAACGCGTTGTATCACGGCAAAAGCTGTGCTAGTATCTGTTTGGTATCCTGTATCTGTTAAATATGCTAGTATAGAACTATTGGATTTGATCTCACCCTTTGCAAACCATGCCGGTAGATGTTCGCGTATCCTGAAACGGACGTGCCTAATAATGCGCCCTATATAATCTGTTCCACAGGAATAGTTGAATTGGTTAGTATATGCATGATGATGAGCTCAAATTAGGTAAGGCGTCCTTAAGTTTCGGGTTGAACGATGTTTGGTTATTAAAGGATAGGGATAGTCGTCATGAGTAAAAGTTCTATTTGTTGCTCTGGATAAATGTTGTGAGAAAATTTCCCTCGGGGCATCTCCTTTAAATAACAGACGCAGAAACAAAGGTTTTTTCTGCACGCTTGTCAATTCGTATTTTCGAGTAATTAAATCGATGTTTGCTTTTATAAACTTCTTCGAATATCCGTTTCCCCTTAAAATATCCTTAAGGATTTGTAATTCTTTCTCGACACATCTTTCAGAGCAGATCAATCTTGCTCTAAACGCTAAACATCTGATAACATTTCGTTTTTACTTCATTGGTACAAAGCTGAGAAAATGTGTATACTGTGCTTTGGTCGTCTTCCTATATGCACTTTATTTCAAAGGACCGTCTTCTTTTCTTGTCAGTAGGACACCAAGGAAATGAAGGGTTATTACTTTCACATTCATTTATAAAATGAACTGCTGGATAGGGGTTATAGGAGTGGTTGAGGATTAAATCAATATAATTTTGTTTAATATTGACTAGAAATGTAGCATCCATATGCCGACAAAACAAATCTACATTGGTAATGTCATCCTTCAATGGTCCGTTTTCTAATTTAGATAAAAATATATCATCAAATATAGGGCCTAGTGGGGATCCCATCGCTACACCATCTATTTGTTTGTACACTTGGCTGTTGAACAAGAATTGGACGTTCATGGTACACGTGACCAGTGACTCCCTTAAACTGTCAATGGGGACGCCTGTATTTATCTTCCTTTCTATCAGCTGTTCGCAGTTCATACAATCTATCATCACAAGTGGCATGCATATATAAATTACACTACCACCCACAATCTTCAAGAATCAAATTTTAATTAAAATGCCATACCCATTCACCGTAAATTCTGGCTATTAATATGTTAACGAAATCGATCTTATAACTAGAACCTGATGAGAAGTTATCAAAAGAATATTCTTCGTTCATATTTGACTGTAAAAAATATAAAATAAGAATTTTTAACTGTCTGAAATGTGTATGTGTGTGTGTTACATTTAAACTAATCACATCGATTTGTTAGTCAGTGATGAGTGTTTCAAAGTGTAAAGGTAGTAATAACAACTGCAACAATGGAGGTCGAACAATTCGATCCAGCAAAACAACGGAGAATAACAAATATGTCAATCAATAGTAATAACTGTAACAACAATAAAAATAATAGCGTAAACAGTCAGAGTAACAGTGCTGACTTATCTATTAAGTGACTACTATCAAACAAATGAGTAAGAGTGAACTTCTTACGGATGTGATGTGCTCCTTTCTCACTCATGAAGGTAGATGCTCAGCAATACATCTATTAAATTGCGTCATATAGCTTTCTTCACAGGAGCACCTCAACTTGTAAAACCAATAAACAGAAAAACTGGATAATTCATCTTTCATCTGAGTAACTACGATTGGTTGCCTGGAGTATGATAACGAAATTCATTAGCGTGGCTCGAAATAGCCTTCCTTGGTTACATCTCCATTGAACTGTAGTTTCATGAACAGCGACCTATTTTGGACCCTAATTAATTCATATTTCCTTCACATCGCTTTGTCCACGAGTCTTTTTAGAAAGCTGTTGGAATAGCCATTTTCAACCAGCGAATTACGAATGTATTCTAACTTCTTACATTTTAAATCATCGAAACATTCTTCTCACTCTATTGGTAAGGCAACTAACTAGATGTATTTTGTACCGAATGGGTAAGTGGCTAAGAAACTATGAGTACTGACCTATGGAAATGGTCTTCACTCGTTCACTCTCATGTTCTTTCCAATGGAAAGCTGTGCCTCTTTGAATTTCATTACCGGTTCATTTCTATCCACATGCTGATCAAGAATAATGAGTGTGCCTTCCTCATAGTGGTGATACATATTCAGTCCACGGATGGCATCTGTCAGCCGTCTGTCCTCAAGTTTGGTCAGTTATAATTAGGCCAGTTGATGAACTCATAGCGATTCCATTAAGTTGTTTGAAGACTAAGTTTAAATTTATAGGGCATCTAAGAAGAAAGTCCTTGAAGAGGTGTACTAAAATCGGAATATTAATTTGTCTTTGCAACATCTGTTGACACGCATTTTGTACTGTCTCGAATAATGGTATATTGAAGAACACTGGTCATATATCAGACGATATTATAGGTTTCTTGTTTACCTTCACATTATCTATCTTAGACATAAAATAGAAGATATCTTTTCTTACTTTTGTTGAAAAAAAAAGTTGTTTGCTTATATTTCTGGTTTGACTTTACATAAAGGGAACCTAAATGCAAGAAGAACAAAGCATACGCCAAAAATGATTAGACCTTGGTAATCAGTTTGATACAGATAAGATTTTAAGATAAATTCCTCAGAAGTAGGTGTGGAGTAAGCTTTATTCATAATTCAGTAAATTCTCTTCCATTATCCACGAAAGGGATTCATTAGAATGCTCACCAACGGATCAGTAAAACTGTGTTCGGAGGTGAAACGTGCTGAAGAGTTACAGGCAATCGAGAAGTGCTTGCGTACTGACTAGTGGTTATTCACGCAAACTCATCAAAATAGATGGATAATCAAGCGCAAAATGGTTAGATTGTAGTACAGTAAGGAAGATTCTGTTTGTCTACAAAATGACTTCACACTTGACGAAATTGTTAGGAAAATCAAGTGCAAACTTATTCCTATGTTGAAAATGACCTGTCCTGTGGCGAAGCTGGTTTCCTTATATCTATATCCTTAGACTGTACGACATCAATTAAGACGGGCTTAGTCAAGTATAGCATGAAGAGTGACTAGTAAGGCAGAGAATTTATGTCAAGAAATAAAAAGTATAAAGCGTTTGTAATTACTCAGTAACTACCCTCCTGAATTTATCTATAAACATACAAAAAGTTGTAAGAAAATTATTACGAAGTATACAATTACAGAAACAAACAATGAAAACATAGATAAAGATTTTAAGATCTTAATTGTTTTGTTGTAAAAAGAAGAGACATCAGAAGCTCTACGTAAGATGCTGTTACGCGCAACAGGATGGGAAATAGTGATAATTCGTTAAAATAACTTGAGGAGGTGGAGAAAGAGTTTGACAATAAGCTTTGTTTATCGAATGAACACCAAATATATGTTATGGAAATTACGCAACATCGAATCCGAATATGTGGAAAGTGCCATTCACGACTAAATTGAAAAGTGAAGCGCAATCGAAATGTAAAAACTAGTTATCATTTGACTACCTGAGACAGACGTAGTTTGGCAGACTAGTA